AATTAATTAAGGAGTGTTATTTTCAGTTTTAGCTGATAATAGTAGTAGATATTAACACGTTATTACCTTTGATGTTATTTGTTCTGATATAATGAAAATAATAATAATCATCATCATCATCATCGACGTCGTAGTCTCGTCGTCGTCATCATAAGCAGCAGTATCATCATTATCATAAATAATAACGTGGAGTTTTAATTTAATTATACTGTACTGAGTATCTGTTATAAAAATCTCTGATAATAATAATAATAGCCGATGCTAGGGGAGGGGTGGGGTTATTTTGGGGGCGGTGCATGGGACATGTTGCAGTTTCCAATATCGTTGCTGTTAGGCATTTCCCCTTTTCCAGATTTTTGTTTTCGATAAAACTTCTCTGCGTAAATTTCATGTCTTTATCATTCTTTGTGTACGTTTATAACGCACGAGGCTTTTGTTTTCCTCTCGAAATGGCAAGGACTTTTTTTAATACGGGGTCGTTGCTAAGGTGAATGTCTTCCTTAAACAATTATCAAAGACAGATAGATAGATAGATAGATAGATAGATAGTTTTATTTCAATCATATTAGGCTTAAAAGCCCACGATGACATGTTAACAGCATAATACTAGACAACGAACAGTGCATATACATATGAAATACATAACATAGCATGATGATAATATCGGAGAAGATCATAACGACAAACTCTTCAAGTATAAATACATTAATGTTGTGTTTAACTTACATATATATGTATAGTATCATTTTATATAAATGTAATCCAAAACATATCTATTTGATGAATCTTTAAAGTTTTAAACCTATGTGAAATTATATACATTCATCAAATAATAGGTTATATACATACATGTACTGAATATATCCACGGTTCTTGCCACACTCTAAGACAAGAAACATAGAATATAATTGATGCATATTTAATTCATTTGTAATGGTTATAACATAAATATATCGGCCTTACCGAAAAGAAACTGCAAGACTGATAATATGTTATAAATTAACAATCATATTCAACATGACTTATTTTCATTTATATGTTCGTTTTACATATATACGTTTATTTAAGATGAGATATTTCAACAAAATGAGCACATGGCATCCAATGAAATAAATATGCATACTACACAATGTATTATTAACATTATTCATGTGTCATAGCTCTTTCGCCATAGAGACAAAAGAAAATTTATAAAGTATCAAAAGTAACCCTAGAATATATTCATCTTTTGAAAGCAAATATATCACTTAAATTAATATAGTGTGCACAGTTTATAGAAAAAAGACATTGTACTTAACAGTATACTTAGACGCTAAATTATATCAATGACTACATGAGATTGTTTCAACTAACGGTATTAACAAAAAATAATTATAACTTTAACAAATAATTAAATGATAGAATTTCTTAGTTTAAACATTGTCATGGTTCCGGAAACAGCGTCAGTAGAGGCCCGCACGTGATAGGCCTTGGAACAGCAACTTTTTTTTTTATAATTTAGATTTAAGTTTTATCGTACCCTGCCGGGGGTGACCTAACAAATAATTTGGAAATTCAAAAGTCAAAGTTCAAACATGATTCATGTAAAAAGAGACGATATTCTTTATAAACGTTTAACCATTCTTTGATAATTTGAATATTGTTACGGCACAAGTGATGAACAGATTGTTGCCGTGATGGCAGAAATATAATTTTTACTGATAACTATAGGTAGGTTATTTGGCCGTTATATTTATATTATGCAAAGTTTGAAACAATGACGAATTTAATGCTATAGACTCACTGTCCATCGAATGGAGATACTTCTTCACCTAGAACGGCAGCTTTTTCTCTTTTTAGGCATGTAGCATTTTCAAGAAAAGACACTCTTGATTAATATTTGCCTAAAGCCGTAACCCGGGAAAATGTCCGGGAGATTTCAGCGAGGTCGTTTCTTTCTTTTTCGTTTTTCTTTACCGGCAACTTGTTTTTTTTTTCTGGAAATAAATTGTTTTAAAAAAAAACATCAAAAAACCACAAAAAAACAACAAAAAAACCCCCCAAAAACGTCATTTTCTCGGACAACAGTTATTACACATTTGTCTGATTCCGTTACGGATTCGTTTTTCCATTAGTTTGGAGGGTCTTCTTTACCAAAGCCCTAACCAAAGCAAAATATCCGGGAGATTTCCGCTTGGCATATTCGTTGTTGTTTTTTTTAAGGGTGATTTGTAGTTTCTGTATATAAAGTGTCTAAATTTTCGTAAAATACACCATGTTCTCTAGCCAATCGTTAAAACACCATTAGTCTGAATCTGTTGTGGATTTTTCCCTTATTTTGGAAGGTATTTTTACAGCAATATAAGACCCGAAGCTTTAATACAATTAAAATGTCCGAAAAAATTCCAAAGTGACCTAATACCGTTGGGTTTTATGAGCTTTACTGTATTCTCTGAGGCTATCACCGTGGGTAAACTTCAGATAAGAACCCTTAGACGGGCATATCACAGTGGCTTGTTTCAGCTTCACTGTATTATCGTGGGTTGATTTCAGATAAGAACTCTAAGATGCGCGTACCACCGTGGGTTGTGTGAGCATTACTGTATTCCCTGAGTCTATCACCAGATCAGAAACCTTAGATAGGCCTTTCACCGTGGGTTGTTGAGCATTACAGTACTCCCTGAGGCTATCAACACATTTAAACCATTAGATAGGCCTACCACCGTGGGCTGTATGAGCTTTACTGTATTCCCTGAGGCTATCACCAGATCAGAACACTTAGATGGACCTATCACCGTTGTTTGTGTGAGCTTTACGTACTGTACTCACTCAGGCTATCACCAGATCAGAACCCTTAGATAAGCATATCTCCGAGAGTTGTGTGAGCTTAACTGTATACCCTGAGGCTATTGCCAAATCAGAACCGCTAGATAGGCGTATCACCGTGGGTTGTGAGAACTTTACTATATTCCCTGAGGCTATCAACAGTTCAGAACCCTAAGATAGCCCTATCACCGTGGGTTATGTAAGCTTTACTGTATTCACTGAGGCTATCACCAGTTCAGAACCCCTAGATAGTCCTATCACCGTGGGTTGTGTGAGCTTTACTGTGTTTCCTGAGGCTATCGTCAGATCAGAACCCTTTGACAGGCCTTACACCGTGGGTTGTGTGAGCTAAACTGTATTCTCTGAGGCTATCAACAGTTCAGAACCCTTAGATAGGTCTATCACCGTGGGTTGTTGAGCATTACTATATTCCCTAAGGCTATCACCACATCTGAAGATAGCCCTATCACCGTGGGTCGTGTGAGCTTTACTGTATTCCCTCAAGCTATCTCTGGATCAGAACCATTAGATAGGCCTATCACCGTGTGTTGTTTGAGCTTTACCGTATTCAATAATGCTTTCACCAGTTCAGAACCTTTAGATAGCCGTGGGTTGTGTGAGCATTACTTTATTCCCTGAGTCTATCACCAGATCAGAAACCTTAGATAGGGCTATCACCGTGGGTTGTTGAGCATTACTGTACTCCCTGAGGCTATCAACACATTTGAACCGGCCATTAGATATGCCTACCACCGTGGGCTGTATGAGCTTTACTGTATTCCCTGAGGCTATCACCAGATCAGAACTCTTAGATAGCCATACCACCGTTGGTTGTGTTAGCTTACTGCATTCCCTTTGGCTATCACCAGTTCAGAAGCCTTAGATAGCCTCTTTCGCTGTGGGTTGTGTGAGATTATATTCCCTGAGGCTATCACGAGATCAGACCTTAGATAAACTTGTCACCGTGGGTTTTGTGAACTTTATTGTATTCACTCAGGCTATCATCAGTTCAGAACCCTTAGATAGGCCTGTCATCGTGGGTTGTGTGAACTTTACTGTATGCCCCGAGGCTATCACCAGATCAGAACTCTTATATAGGTCTATCACAGTGGATTGTGTGAGCTTTACTGTATTCCCTGAGGCTATCAGGAGTTCAGAACCCTTAAATAGCCCTAGCTATCGCCGTGATTTGTGAGAGCTTTACTGTATTCACTGAGGCTATCACCTTATCAGAACCCTTAAGATAGGCCTATCAACGTGGGATGTGTGAGCTAAACTGTATTCCCTGCGGCTATCAACAGTTCCGAACCCTTAGACAGGCCTATCACCATGGGTTGTGTAAGCATTTCTGTATTCCCTTAGGCTTTCAACAGTTCAGAACCCTTAGATAGGCCTATCACCGTGGGTTGTTTGAGCATTACTGTATTCCCTAGCCCTGGCTATCACCATATCTGAACCTTTAGAAAGCGTTATCACCGTGTGTTGTGTGAGCTTTACCGTATTCCCTAAGATTTTTACCAGTTCAGAAATCTTAGATATATGCCTAAATTTCACCGTGGGTTGTGTGAGCATTACTGTATTCCCTGTGGCTATCACCACATCTGAACCCTTAGATAGCCTTATCACCGTGGGTCGTGTGAGCTTTACTGTAATCCCTGAGGCTATCACCAGTTCAGAACCATTAGATAGCCCTATCACCGTTGGTTGTGGGGTTTTGTCCACTCTAAAAAAAACTGGAGGTGTGGGGGTTTGTCCACTCTGTAAAATTTACAAAATGTAGGTGTGGGGTTTTGTCCACTCTTTAAAATTTTGAGTTGTGGGGTTTTGACTGGTGGGGTTTTTGTCCTACATTCCTCTATAAAGCAAAATTCTTTTGATTCAATACTTGAGAAATGAAGAAGGTAAGTTAATATTATATAGGGAGCGCCGTGTTTTTCGTCAGTTTATTGATAATAAAAATACAAGAAAAACCTTATCAAAAACTTATCGCATATGAAAAATATATATGCCCTGCATGTTTAACAATCATAAAAACACATTTGGTGTACGCATTGTGTACACCGGTCTTACTATTTGAGACCGGTGCGTATACAATGCATTTGTACGTGTTTATTTGTAATATATAGGCTCTTGTCGGTTCTTGTCGGTTCCTGACGGTTCTTGTCGGTAATTAGGGAGACCCGGAGAGGGGCGTCGGTTTGTTAGAGTTTTAGTCTTAACCAAAATGGTAGCTTCCACGGATGAAAAATCGGCATATCAAGTTCGTTCAAAATGGGGCTTATTCAAGGATCCAGCATTTCCTATTTATATATCAGGCTTTTTGGTAAAAAGAAATACATTATGTATCAACAGTTTTATCTACTGTCATTTCGTGAAAATAATGAAAGATAAAGCCTTGGATGTTGATGGTCTAGACACTAAGATTATGATATTTTTGACGGTCTGGACTACTCCTTAGTTATATTGACGTCCCAAAGCAAGTTTCTGGTATATTTTTGTTCTGGGTCAAAATCTCACTTCTACAGATAGAGGGGAGATATTGCCCATGTACAAAATAGCACAGTATCTCATTGCGTAGTACAATTAGTTGGACTGGACTGTACTCCTCTGAAACTACTGGTGCAACTTCATCCAAACATTATTGTAATGATCAGTAGTAAGTGTAGTTGTGCGTATCGTCAGCATTTTCTTGTCCAATAATTATTGTCTGGACTACTCCTCTTGAACCACTTATCCAATTTCAATGAAACTTTACAGGATTGATTGGCAACTCAAATATTTGTTCTGGCTTCCATAACTTTATACATTGTATGTCGCTTTTATTTTGATGTTTTGCGACAGTTATGGGTAAACCCTATTTGCAAAGGCTACCAGAATGTTGGCAGTTTGTTTGCAGTACATAAAACCTATTAAAATAACCCTTCCTAGTAATCAATTTTGGGTCAAATAAAAATTGTTACCATTTGAAAAACGTCAAATCAATTTTGAATCAATTCATTTTTTTTTTTAAATGAATCAATGACATCTTGTACCCAACTATTTGTTAGGGAAATATGTAGAAAATGATTACCAATATGGAGTCTGCTTTCAAATGAAATCTCGCGGGACTTCAAGTTTTGGGAATTCTAGCATCTATTTTTAGTAACGGACCATACATTATTTTTAGTACTGTACAATTCTAAATAAGTACAAAAGAAATAATTCAAGAATCATCACTCAAAACAATATAAATCCCAAATGTTATTGGTACAACATCTATTATTGAATAAAAACACCGTTATTCATAATTTCAAAGCCATGTTTTCAATTAAGAATAGCATTTTGGTCACAGGTCATGCAAAGGTACCCGAACCTAAATTCTCGCAAGTCACATGATGATTAGGGCAGCAATTGGGGCAAATTTTATGAAATGTAAACGCACTGATAACAGTCTTCGAAATTAACGCCAGCCCGAGGCCACTAAATTTAGCATCGGTCCGGTGATTATTGCAAGGTTGGTGGTCCGACGGGCCAGTAGATTTTTGGCCATGAAAAAATATTATAAGAAAAATTCAACAAAATAATGAAGCAGGGCTCTCTAAAAGATTGATATTTTTGCCTTTTTTGCAAGTGAAACCCATCAATTCTGTCCTAAAAATTCAAAACACAGCCAGAGATGTCTAAATTGTATTGAGTAATAGAGGCCGCCATTTTTTTCTTGGATATTTTCCGTACCGCACCGTACAGTTACGGAAATTAAACCATTGTTTATAATGGTCATTATTTACCTATGATTTTGTGATAATTGAGTTAAGTTAATATTTTGTGTGAAAGTGATTTGTTTGAAGCAAACTGCGTAGTTCATGTTCAATGCTAGTCAGTTTTGCCTTAACATTTGGTCCTTATAAATTTATAGAGCTATCAACTTATGGTCCAGAATACAAGAAGTATTTTGCTTCTTTCAAAATTAACAAGGGAAGCATGATAAACTGTTTTCCTTTACCCATCAATTTATTACCTATCTATGTATTTGGTCCGGCTAAAAATCACCAGGTCCAGTAAGATTTGAAATTTTACTGGCCCGAATGTCCTGTGCTTTTTAAAGTTTTTCGTGAAGACTGTGATAAACTTTGAGGCAATAGTTCATCAATCTATCCTTCTTTGTTAAAAATTATAGACTATAGTGTACAAAATATATCTAACTACCTGTATTTAAATAGATTTTATCCAGATAACGCAAATTGATTGAATTACAGCATGACATAAAAATGTCACAGCTCTAGTTTACTTTCGATACAGGAATGACTTCAGTGAATAGGTCTAGCAGTACTATAAAACCTCTTCGCTGAAGTCTCTTTACTGCATATTGAACAGCTTTTCCAGTTGAATGATTTTTGGCTGAGTTATGGTCCTTGAATAAAAACTTGTTTTACCCTTTTAATAATTTTTGTGCCTCCTGCTACTAGGGCCGTCATCGGAAATCGCGATACTGATGAATCATCGATTCTCATGGGTCGAATGGATATCAATGCAAAATAGCAATGAATGAAATATATGAACATTTCAAATTAAAATCCTTACAAGTTTGTCATTTGCAATTGAAATTTTAATCTCCAATCTAAAACAAAACAGCAGCCATTAATGTTTACATTTTTAGCGCATGCGTCAATCTAATATCATCAGGTAAAAAATTACCAAATCTAGAAATTGAAAATTATGGCAATAAACGCTTGGGTTGTGTGAGCTAGAATAATAGGCACCTGAAACCTTAGTAATGACAGAGTGACTTTTGTTTGAATCCTTTTAGCATCAATCATCAAATTTAGGCCTTTTCAACTTCATTTTTTTGTGTGTAAAATAAAAAAAAACTGACAGTACATAACCTTGAGTGACTTACATCTGTAGTATAGATAATTTGACAATGTCTATCAGTAGTTCTCAGGTGAGCGATTCAGGGCCATCATGGTTACCTTGTTTTTCTAGATACATGTACCAGTACTGTCATGTTGGGTAAGGATAAAAGGTTCAAATATGGATGATCTGATTAATTTTATTTTTTCTAATTTTTTTAGGATATGTTTGGAGTGAGTATGATTCTTCCACTTATAATGACTCATGCAAGAGACATTGGTGCTTCCCCAGTAGTAGCTGGATTTCTAGGTAGGTAACTTGATTAGTCATTGTTCCAACAATAATATTACAGTGTAACTTACTTACCGGTATATGTAAAACAAGATATATTAAATCATTTATTGTTACTAGTATATTAAAGCAATACATACCCACTGAATAATTGAAAACCTTTTATGTCAGGATTCTTTAAGTTGATATTTTTGCTTATGTTAGATAAAGATAGATCAGTGTTTTAATTAAAAGTAGATTAGTGTTTTAATTAGATTCATTGGTTTTTTCATCATTTTAATTAACAATAAATTAAAATTAAATTTTAATTTATTGTTCATTTTAATTACTGTTAAATATTTTCAGGATCAACATATGGTGCTTTACAGCTGTTTACAAGTCCATTGGTGGTTTGTTTCTTATTGTTTGTTTTCTTAATCTTGTTCACAAGTAATAATTTAAGTTCATACAGAATTTCTTTTTTTAGTCCAATTGTGAAGGAAGTTATAAGCATATAGACAAATTCTCATATACATTTCTAGGACCTACCAATACTTATCAATTAGTGTAAGGTTTCTTGATTAAGGAAAGAATCGCTTGCCCCTGAGAGGCTTAAGACCCATATGGCTAGTCAAAATATGAGCCGCGTCATGACAAAACCAACATAATGGCTTTGCGACCAGCATGGATCCAGACCAGCCTGTGCATCCGCGCAGTCTGATCAGGATCCATGCTGTTCGCTTACAGACTCTATAACTGCTAGCGAACAGACTCTATAACTGCTAGCGAACAGCATGGATCCTGATCAGACTGCGCGGATGCACAGGCTGGTCTGGATCCATGCTGGTCGCAAATGCATTACGTTGGTTTTGTCATGACGCGGCTCTTATATTGACGTGCCAAAGCTAGATTCTGAGATATTTTTGTTCTGGTTAGAGAGAAGATATTGCTCATACACAAATTTAGAACAGTTTTTCATCACGTAGTACAATTAGTTAAACTACCATATGGCCAGCAATCCTTAGATTACTCCAATGCATTCTCTACTTGGCCACGCTGCCACAGTAAAATGATTTTGATAAATACATGTATATCTCACACTTACATGCTAAATATCTTAAATGCACTTGTCCATCTTTAAATCTAGTCCAGACCATTCCACATTTTCAAGATATAGAGTGACTGGATAACACATGCAGACCATGATCAGACTGTATGGACATGTTTGCTAATTGTGGTCAGCACTTGTCAACTGCTATCAGCAGCAGTTAATGTTATTTATAACATGCTTTTCGGTGGTTTATAGAAATATATCAGTGATATAAAACTGGTAATTTCACTGTTTGAAACAGTGAAATTACCACTTTGATAATTTCACTGTTTTGAATTTAAGCCCCTTACGTTGTTTCAGTGAAATACCAGCGTCACATTGTATTATTATTTGGCGCGCTTTTCATTCAGTTTTAGGTTAAATGTCTTTTTAAAACGTTTCTTTGCATATAATAAAAAGAAAATTTGTTTAGTTTAGTGTAAGATTGAAATATATTTCACCTTGTAAACACCAAAAGTTCATATTTCACTCGTGGCTGCGCCACTCGTGAAATATACCTTTTGGTGCTCACTCGGTGAAATATATTCCGATCTTACACTGAACTAAACAAATATCCTCTATAGCATTTTGAGGATTTGGTGAGGGACAGCTTTAACTCATATTACTTAATGAAGGAGTTATGTCCATTTTGCATCGCTTTACTTTAATTGCAAACATTCAAAGAGATGAGAGATAGAAGAACTGTCATTAAAGTACCTGACTTGAATCAAGATTTCAGGATAATCTGTACTGAGCCGCAAGGATAAATAGATCAACCGTCAACTATAATGGTTAATAAAGGTTGAATCTATGACTCCTGGACTGATGGGAAGACATTTTAACTACTTTTCTCCCCCTACATGTAGTAATGCGACTTAAGCACAGTGGAAAACTGACTCTAAATCTAAAAACAAAGTAATTTAAAGGATATATTTTTATGGATCATACTTTTATGGATCATTGTTTGTTTGTTTCATTTTACGCCTTTTCCCAACAGTATTTCAGTCATATAGGCTGGTAGTTTCCTAACCATCGTTCCTGGAGAGTTACCCCAGTACTAGACTACCTTCCTCCGCGCTAAACTACCAAAGCATCTCCCCGGGAACGAACCCACGCCAGAGAGGTAACTGGATCAGAAGTCATCAACTCTAACCCCTCGACAACGGAGGGTTCATAGTTTGTTGTATTATTTCAGGGGCAGTGGAGTGATGTGGCTGGTAGACGTATGACGTTACTAGTATGTTTGATCATGTCAGCATGTGGCTACACAATGTTCGCATTCGCTTCTACAGTAGTTCTCATGTTTGTTGCACGACTACCTCTAGGTAAATATAAATCTTGTTTGACAACAATAAAATATACTCACATAATCCACTCTTCAGTATAATGATGATGATTGTACATCTGTCATTTGTAACCCTAACCTTTTAGGTACTTCAAGCCACTGTAGAAAACATCTTTAAATTCATACCAGCTTTTGATGCATGGAACGCCTGAAATATATTGTTTTCAGTTCTCTTTTGTAGGTATTTTGGCCTTAAATGCATTGTATTGTTTTCAGTTCTGTTTTGTAAGTACATGTATTTCAGTCTTAAATTCAATGCTTTCATTTCTCTTTTGTAGTTATTTCAACCTTCAATTCATTGTACTCAGTTCTCTTTTGACGTATTTCAACCTTAAATTCTTTTTGTAGGTATTTCATATTTAAATTCATTGTTTGTAGGTATTTCAGCCTTAAATTTATTGTTTTCTATTCTCTTTTGTAGGTATTTCGGCCTTAAATTAATTGTTTTCAGTTCTCTTTTGAGGTATTTTGGCCTTAAATTCATTGTTTTCCATTCTCTTCTGTAAGTTTTTCGTACTTAAATTCATTGTTTGTAGGTATTTCGGCCTAAAATTCATTGTTTTAAGCTCTCTTTTGTAGGTACATTGTATTTTGACCTTAAATTTATTGTTTTCAGTTCTCTTTTGCAGGTATTTCTGCCTTAAATTCATTGTTTTCGATTCTCTTTTGTAGGTATTTTCAAACACAGTCAGAATATAGGCAAGTCCTATTTGGCAGATATAACAACAAAGGCCGATCAAACATCTAAGATAGGGCATTTTAATGCTGCATCTAGTATAGGGTTTATTCTAGGACCACCTGTAGGAGGACATATAGATGAGCTGAAAGGAGGATTCTATTTGGTGTCAGTGCTCACTGGCTTTGTTTTCCTTCTGAATTTTGGTATGATTTTTTAATCGTTAAAAGTTTGTGGCATGTGATAATCATAAATTTGATAAAATAAAATTGATTTTTATTTTTTTTCTTATGAAATACAAATAAATGCATAGATGTACATTTGTTTTAATCACCTGTGAAGTAAAAGATACCTGGATAACTCTGTAGTTAAACTCTTCTCTACTTTTGCATAGAAAGACCCTACTGGTTGGAGAGATAACTCCGACACTAAATCACATACTTTTTGTAATATTTTAATTATCTTTCTGTATTTTTTAAATATTGAACCACCTAAATAAAGTTCAGTTCAAAGACTTTACATGACACTACAAAAATTATGTATGAAAATGAGAATTGGTACTTCTTTAAGGTCCTGAATGGGGTAAACAAAACATGGTCTTTTTACCCCTCAACAGTAGATAAAGTCGACACTTAAATTTTTAAGTAAAAAATGACAGGAAAATCAGCATCATTAATTCATTTTAACATCTTATATGCTTTATCTATTTTTTGTTGATGTAAAAACAAGTTTTCAAAAATATTTCCCAAGTCAGTGGCCTGTGGTCAATACATTTCTTACTACCTCATTTTAATTTAGTAAAAAGAGCGTTTTGAAGCAGTTTTTGCCAATGAAACGTTTCGGTCAATTGAAAAATATTAAAAAGTTTACCAACTTACAAAAAATCATCATATTCTGTCCTGCTCCAATACTACAAGGTGACCATATGCTTTTTTGTTGAAAAACAAAATTATAAAAATTATATTTATCAAGTGTCGGGGTTATCTATGCGTCGGAGTTATCTCTCCGACCAGTATCTTTGTACGCTTTGTTTAATTGATTTAGCCATGAGCTCTTACATTATAACTGTTCCTAATAAATGCAATATCCCTTTCTTTTACTTAATTTGGATAAGTTTGAAACACTTGTAGAATTATAATTACATTTTATTTGATTTTGTTTTTTTTTGAAAAGTTCATGAATTTTTGTTTTTAAAGTTGAATTTTTATCTAAAGTTTTGGTTTGAATATGGAATAACGTATAAATGTAAGGCCCATTATTCCCAAGAACTGTTTTCATTTTTATTTCTCAAAAGCGTTTTATAATTTATGTCCTGTTATTGTTTTAAAAAAGTTACTCATTGTCCAATAACCGAACCATCTTTTGCTTCTGCTGTCTTCTGGTAATAAGACAAGTGATGGTGATTTAGTATTTTAATGAAAGTGAAAATACTACTTGTTTACATTTTGCTACTTTTACGACAAATTATTTCACGTTCAGCGATACTTTATTCAGGTAAAAAGCATCAAAGATGCTCTAAAATCATTATTTAAATGTTATAAAACTCAAGTAAGTCTTTTATAAAGGAAAACAATGATTTGTTTCTGAGGCATAATGTGACTCTAATTTGTACATTTCAGTTTTAATCTGGTTCACAGTGCCAGAGACACATTCCAGGAAGGAACGCATGAGGAGAAATTTTTCTTCGACAGACTCTTTTAAACAAATGCAATCTGATGAACTAAATTTTAACAGTAAAACATTCTGGGAAGCAGCTAGACAAGTCAACTGGCATGATTTATGGGATCTGTACCTTATCAAATTTTTACTTGGTGCATCTGTGATCGTTTTTCGGAGCAACTTTTCTTTAATGCTTCAAGAAAAATACCATACAACGCCCACAATGAATGGGTATATTATTTCAGTAAATGGTGTTGTGTCAGCATTAGTTGGTTTTTTTACAGGTTATATAGCAGATTATTATAATAGTAATGCAAAATTACTTCTACATTTATCTATTTTTCAAGTGTTCACATTGTCGTGTCTTTCATTGCCAACGCCATTGTGGCTATTTGTGATAAGTATATTACCTTTAGGGTTCATAACTACAATAGCTAGAGTGTCCAGTACTAGTTTGACCTTTGAAAGAGGAAATAAAGAAGAAGTGGGGATTCTTTTGGGTTTTCAGCAGAGTTGTATGTCAGTCGCCAGGATGTTGGGACCAATGGTTGCTGGGATTGCACAGGAAGTGACAACATCAGGGCCAGGAATTGTGGGAGCTGTTCTGTCATTGTGTGCAGTGTTTATAATGATTGTCAGACCACAGGATCCAGCAAAAAGAACAAGCTTGAAAGTAAAAAAGCACAAATGATTTTTGAATTATTTATTCATATATTCTTGACACATATATTTTTGTTTACAAAGTCACATGAATTATATATGTACATGAACTTAAAAGTCAGTATATTTTAATTCATATATCAGTCTTTCTTTTTATTCTTATTTAATTCATTTTTGTGTGATTATGATATTTCTACAGATATATTATGCTCAAATTTGATATACATATACTAAAGCACTGTTAAACAGTCTTTTTATATTATCTAAATGTAAAACAAATAGATCTATTTTATGTGTACACACATAGAAGATATGTTATGTTTTAAACTCTTCACACTGTAGGTAGGCGCAATACTGTATAAATACATAGGATCAGTAAAAAAATGGCACTTGTTTTCTTTAAGGAGGTACCAAATTAACTTGACAGTAATAGAGAATGCAGCTTCCAAAATAGAGTTTGTGAATTCTCTTTTTCAAATTACACTTATTCAGTAGAAATTTCCTGCTAGATTTCAATAAATTTCTACAATAAAAATAGTTTTACTAAACTGAGCATAGTATATCTATAATCAATTTGCCAATCTTATATTTCACTTCTTATCGGTCTGTTCATTTGTTCATCACAGAAACATATATTTTTATATATTTATTCATTTAGTAGTGTACATTAGTTTGTCAATTCACATGATTTATCTATTTATAACAACACCTAAATTATAAATTATTTTATTTTCCTTTCATTTCTTTTGTCAGTTTGTTCTTAAGCTTACTTAAGATCTCATTTCATTGTTTTGCTGTATTTTGTTGCTTTTTTTCTTTTGCTATTTTTTCTAATCAATTGACAATCAGTTTATAAAGAGCAGAACACGTGTTGTGTATAGAGGATATGCATGTATGTTTATTTCAGTGTAATATTTTTCACCGAGTGAATGATAAATTTAATATTTTTATGGGTGGTGTAGCCATAAGTGAAAACATAACAGCTGATGTTCAAAAAAGGAATATAATTTGATCTAACATAATTATATAAATATTTTCTACTTATATTTCATGCTTTTTACTGGCTTTATGTCATTTGGACTGATTTTTGGCGGGAAAATGTCATGCAATTTCCTTCATGATGTCATCCGCTCAATACATCATAATGTTGACATGCAATTCTTTAAGATTTATATGCTTTAGTTAATTTTTAACATTAAAAACTCAAATATTTGTATGCTTTTAAATAATCATGTAGAACTTCTTGTTTTACAACACTTTAAGTGTATTTCTGCTCAAGGCACTTTTTAGTAAAAATTTTCTTTAGTTTGTCGGTAAGTTTAAGTGTTACTGTGGAATACAACAATTCATGGAAAACAAATGGATGGTACCATATAAGTGTTTTTTTTCTGCAGTGACTTTATTACTGCATTTTCTGCGGTCAGTTTCAGCACCACAGAAATAAAAGCCGCATAATATTTCTCTAACTTGCTATGATAGGTGTCCTATATTATGACCTGTTTCATCTAAAGTAATAACGACTAACGGATTATAACAGTTAGCAGGTTTTCAAGTTGTATAAAATTGCTATCGTAATTGCGAAGTATGTATTCTTTGTTTGTAAGGATGTACTTATTGTTAATTATGCTAATTTAAGAATAAAGATATTTCAAACCATTTCAACCCTTATACTCATAAATAATCGTTGTATACTTTAATTGTCATCTGAATTACAGTAAACTTCTATCAGTTATAATCAATCATGTATAAGGTTTGTGAAATATTGTCAAAACTGTATTGCTGATTGCTTGTAGATTTTCTTTTAAAAAAGTCTTTTTCATAAATATATCAATGTATTTGTATTTTGATATAGGGTGGAAGGCATTTCATTCAAGGTAGGATCTGAGTATCTTAGTGAGATATTAATACATTAATGAGCCGCGTCACGACAAAACCAAAAAAATACGTTTGCGACCAACATGAATCCAGACCAGCCTGCGCCTCCGCGCAGTCTGATCAGGATCCATGCTGTTCGCTATCAGTTTCTCTACTTGCAATAGGGTTTGCATAGATCCTGATCAGACTGTGCGGATGCACAGGCTGGTCTGGATCCATGCTGGTCCAAACGCACTATGTTCGTTCTGTCATGGCGGGGCTCAACTATTATTCACTACAATAATCCTGTATTATTCTAAATTATTATCACAGATTGCTGCTTTTAAATCTTACCACATGACCATCCAGTACTTTCAGTATTGGACATTGTAGCAACAGTTATTGGACATTTGTAATGTCAATGATTAAAGCTGTAAACAGCAAAATTATCCAAATGAAGACTACTAGGACTGTTGACGAAACATGTCAGACTGTCAAAACCATAATAATATAAGGTCACATATTGCATATTTCCTTAATATAATTAGGATTATATAGGTTGAACAGGTTATGAAACATTAATGTGTAGGAGTAATTTTAAACTTACATTTGTATTTTTGATACCAACTCGAGCTACAAAATTTTTGGCAATTTTGTTTGTTATGCTTGTGCATATTTTGCTCAGTTTGCTTGATTTAGTGTTTATTTTCTACTTATTTCACCGAAACGGCACGCTTTTCTCTTATTTTATTGTCACATACTGAAATTGTTACAAAATTTTAAGTCTATACAATATTCAACAAAATTTAATCTATTATTGGTTTTATTCTATGTCTCTTCATAAATTAGTTGCTGTTGTTGAATACTTTTGTAATGTTAATAAGTACATGTAGTAAAATGATAATATCTACCAAAAACAAAGCTTATGAACTTCAAACATTTAAATTTTACCTCCATCGGAAAAAAAATTTCATAGTACATTGAAAGACAGTGTAACCGAGTGTTTGTTATTTTCCATTTAATATTTTAGTTTGTTTTTGATTGGCAGAATCATTTGACGTCATCTAGTAAACTTTTGAGTCATGGTGGAGAGCCTAAAGGGACAGTATCAAGTAACAATGTGGAGAAAATGACAGAAAAAATTAAACTGCATAGTTATAATTCAAAAAGAAATTCTTAGCTTACCAATTTAGTATACTTTCTCTCACTCAGGAAAGATTGAGAAATGTGTTGTTACTGGACTGATGGTTTTTTAAAGTTGTATGCTTCCAGATGAGTAAAATTCGAAATATCATACTAAAGAAAAATATGTATAATACACAAAAAATGTCATGTAGAATCAGATCTTGACACTTCGAAGAATTGAGACAATTTTTTTGGCGGAATACTCACACAAAATTTCTTAGATAGGACAAGTATATTTTTAAAAAGGATATTTTTTTGTTAAGGACAAGTTTTCCTTTAAAAGGACAATTTTTTTTTTCCGTTTTTTTAGTTTTTATAAAGAAAAATTGGGAAGAATCTATAGCTTTTCTGATGAAAGTCACGATACATGTTAAGAGTTTAATGTAAAACTGTCATGACAGTGTTGTTATTTATGAAGGTAAATTGGTGCTGAATTAACCCCTAAATTGTAATATGAGAGGTATATTCAGGGATCATAGCAGTTAACGCTGTTTATGCAATTTCTGTGATCATATTATGTATATATTTCATAGTTTATTTATAACAGTTGGTTCAATTATGAACCAAAATTGTTGAGAGATTCTATATTTTAATGAGAGAAATATTTTTCGGAGTATTTTAAAATAGTTATTGAAAGTTGTTATGCATTAAAATTATTGTTGTTGATTTTTATGTCCAAGTATTTTGTGGAAAACAGTTTTAAATGAATATATACTGATTATGTATTAGTTATATTTAATTGTTTTACATCAAAGTCTTGGTAAATGATATATTATCATTTACATATTCATGTATTTGTTTATCTTAGTCAAGATTTATTTTCATAGAATTAAAAGAAAAAAAAAGATTTTGGTTTTATTTAAATGACTTCTTGAATGCTGCATGCTTGTAATATCAATTTTTATTGAGACAGTCGTGTTTATAATATCTGTATTTGCAAAATTATGAATCAATTTTTTAGCTATCAATGACAGCAAATGTGTAAGACCAGTATTATTAAATACAAGCAATTATCATAGTATTGCAAGCAATCCATAAGTCCCCTACCGGTTAGAACCCCAGCAACATTCTGATGGGCCATTGGCCATTCAATTTTACCAGTGAATGAATGACATGAATAAAAAAATTTTTTTGAGTTCTAAGTTTGTCTATATCACAGTAATGTGTTAAGTTTCCCTGGCTAGTAAAGAAATTATGTTTATACAACCTTGTCATATTATTACAATGTGGGATCCTATAAGGAATGAAGAAGTTGTAGTAAAAAATACCAATTTCTGGAAAAAAATCTAAGTTCAAGGGGGACATAATTCTGGAAAAAGTCTTGCTAGAGTATTTAACCTTCTCAAAAATGTTGAGTGATAATAAGAAACATATATATGAAGTTTGAAGTAGATACATTAGGAAATAAAGAAGTTATTTAAAAAAGACATTTTTTTTCCATAAAAATTCTAAGTTCAAGGGAGGTAATACTGATAATTTTTGTGCTAGAGTTGTAAACCTTGTCACATATGATGTGGTTGATGACCAGAAACTTATATTTAAAGTTTGAAGTCAACACCTTCAGAAATAAAGAACTTATAGTGAAAAAGCTGAAAAATTTAAATCAGAAATCTTGAAAGTCAGGATATTTGTTGCCATAGCAACCAGAATTTTCAACATAGGAAGAAAAGAAAAAGATGTGCATAATCTCCAGACTGCCATCTACCCATATTTCAAGTACTTTTTGAGTTATCACTGGGCTAAATTTGCCATATTTTCAGACTATTTGTTGCCATAGCAACCAGAATTTTCAACATAGGAACAAAAGAAAAAGACGTGCATAATCTCCATACTGCCATCTATCCATATATCAAGTTTCATAAAAATATTTTTAGTACTTTTTGCGTTATCACGGGATCCAGTTTTGTGGACGGACTGACAGACAGACAGACGGACGGAGGGTAAACCGGTAGGAGACTAATAGACATTTGACAGGTTATATGGTTGTGTAAAAATGGTGCTAGTCTGCTCATTACTATTTTATATTTGGCCATATAACACTTAAAATCTTTAAACAATTAATGTTATGCCTTCAGAAAAGTTACCATTTGACTGATATATCAAAATCTCTCTTCATAAATAGTTGAAAGAAATATAAATGTTGCCCAAAGATATTCACTTTAAAAAAATAGTTCTTGTTCACTTTCAAATTTGAAATGTATTTGCAGGTGGATAAATAATATTTGCCTTTTTCTCAAAAACCATTCCACTTCAAACTTGAAATATTTGTCAACTATCAAGACCTGGTCAGTCCAATAGGAATGTTTGCATAGAAATGCCCCTTTTTCTATGTTGCTTTTTTTTTGCTATCAAGCACTGAGAAAAGTATAGCACAGACAGATCTTGTTTTGTTTTTCCATTTGGAGGCCTGTTGCTTTTACTATTTACAATACATCATATATACAAACCAACTTCTTTCTAAATTTGGTGTATGTGATAAATTATATAAACAAAACTGGTGCAATTATTGTGAAAACATTGTTATTAAATAAGATGAGAGAGAAAATGGTTTTGGTTTTTATTTATACATTTTAGCATGTTTTGACTTGGTGAAAAGTAATATAATAACATACTAGTGATGTTAATTGCGACAACTCGCACCACATGCGAGACTTTGCCCAAGAACTTTTACCTTTGAGTAACTATTCACCTAGTTTACCAAATACTCCATTTGTGTTCATGTGGAGGGGCATCCAAGGTCTTCCTCCACCAGTAAAGTTGAAATCCTTATATTATTTTTCTGGATTTTACACTACTTTTTCCAAGATTTTTTGGTCTAACCAGTATATACCAAATTCACAGCAAGTGACTGATTTCTAATCTTGAATGATTTCTGAATTGGTAGAGACAAATGACCATTTACTTAATGTCTAAGATCAGTTGTCACAAAGAAATATGGTCATGCCCAAGGAAAGAACTAGCGACCCCTGGATTATTAATTTGATGCTCTCCCTTTCGCACTCTTTAAGTTGGTGAACTGAAGACAAAAAAAACTTGAAAAGTGTCTTACAACTATTAAAAAAAAACTCACAAAATTATCTCCTGTAAACACAGGTCACATTACAGGCCTGAAATTTTTTAAGAGAAACTGCAAAACATCATAAATTAACAAAAATAATTTATTCAATATTCAATCATACAAAATAATGTTTACGACTCAAATATACATAATTATATATTTTTGAAACCTTTTATTTAACAGTGCAAAATATGATGTTCTTTAACAATAAAATCAATGTATTTCAGACTTTAGTTTTATTCAACATTTCCACTCTTTTCATCTATCAACTTTACATAAACAGATTACATGACAGGTTTTATGTATTTCCAATCATTCCCTCATAAATGTGTAATGCACTAGTTCAGATTGGAATTTGGATCAGTTCATTTCTTGATGAAGGGATGTCAATATCAAAATACAAAACTAAAGAGATAACTGTTTGGTTAGACTGTGTGAAGTAGACTAGCCTGGCCTGTCACTACACTGGTTTAACATTTTGACAATATTTATAAGGACAATGCCAGCTGAAAACTAAATTGAAACAAATATAAAAATTTTGCCTATTGTATAATTCAATTAAAAATGAAAATGGAATCAACTATGGGCAAATTACAAATTTTGTTTTTCAAAGCATTCATAATTTCTATTTGTGGCTTTAACTTGAAATCAAGAATTGTATTTCTACACTCTACACAAGACATATTTACTGTATTTGAGTGTCCTTATTACTATTAGCGGTACCCTTACATATTTCAGAAGTTATTTACTGAACCGAACACTACATAATTAAAAATGTATGTTAAATTAATAACAATTAAACACATGTTACATTTTAATTTTTAAATGGCATATAAGAAATACCAATACTACTTTACTCATAACCTATATACATCTATACAAAATGGCTGAAACAAAAACTTAGAAAATTGGAAAAAGGCAAAAAAAAATTGGTATTAAACCATTGAATCAACTTAAACAATTATATACACACACAAAAGATACAGTCAGCAAAACAACAAGTTTGTTTCACAATCTTTAATTACGCCCTTGAAAGGTGTTTAAATCTTTGTGACATCAATTTGGCAATCTTAATTGGCGAATGAGAAAATATGTCATTTGCCAAGGAAAATGGAAAAAGAAAATCTTTGAAGGTAAGTACATGGAAATGGTTAAGGGAAACAAGAAAACTGGCCTTCTTAAACTCTTTTCAATATGTTGTCTTATTTGAGATGTTTCTTAGTAAAGTGTTTATGATATTATTCCACTGGGCCTTAGTAAGTTTCAAAACAAAATCTATTGAATTTGTATAAGAATAAAGAATGTTTTAAACTTAAATGTGCCAAGATGAACTGTTAAACTAATTATAGTCTTAAAGTATTTAATACATCAATCATTTATTTTAAAGGTTAAACATGAATTGGTTAGACTGACAAAAGTTCCTTTTATATACATGTACATATCAAAATAGCAAATGCCAACAATACAATTCTGCCAAAATAATTTACCAGTACATGTGATATCATACTGTTCCTACATCAGGAAAACAGAAAACAATTTAATGATTTGAAAGTAAATAAAACATACTGCATGACCATTTCCACTGTATACACATTTTATGTTTATAAATTGCACAAGTTTTTAGCCCTTATCCTGCAAAATGTTCATAAGAATTGAGTGGCACCAATATTTTATCACTCGTTAACTAGATGGTTGTTTTCCATAGATTTGGGTAAGGGCTTCTTCAACATTTAACGCTGCTAAACTGTCTAATGGCACATTTGTCTTCTCTTTTTTTCTACGCTTGCTCTGGAATAGACAATAGCATCTTAATGCGAGATATATCATATAATACATGGAAAAGAAGATATCAAAACATGAGAAATAAAATAAACTTCAAGAATGACTTATTGCAATACTGATGAAGCTTATTAAAGCCAAACATATTCGAATTAACTATGCTGGTTTGTGATCTTTATATCCTATTTATTCAAATACAGGCAGACCAGCTTTATAGCTAAGGAAACAATGTAAACTATACATTGCAAGCTTGGTTTGCTTAGGAGTGCCCATTCATATGCAGAAAATGTCCCACAACTTATGAAAATGTCCAAAATATTTGTATAAGTGAACTAGTAAATAAACAATATTTAACTGAGAAAAACAATCATACTTTACTAGTCTTACATGTAAAATGTGCAATTAAAACACATTGCTGAGGACTAAACTTCTATCAAAATGACTTTAAGAGAAGTTCAACCAACTGAACAAGATATAAAGAAAATATAACTTACTTCATGTCCATCTTCACCATCCTCTCTGTGACGCTTCTTAGATTTCTTCTTCTTTTTCTTGTGATGTTTATGTCTTTCTCCTTCCCCTTGATCCCCGGGTGAAACAAACTGCTCTCCAATATTTGTCATTTCATTACCACTGTGATGATGTCTGTGCTTACGTTTTTTCTTTTTTGACTTGGACTTTCTTTCTCCCTGCTCTGAATTAATATTTTCCACTTTGGATTGTTCATTAGAACTTTCAGGCTTGTCAAGTATTTGAGTCACAATATCTGAATGGTCTACTGAAACTTTACTGGTACAAGTATTTGATAAATCACTACCAGATTTTTCATTTAACAGTTCAACACTATGTCTATATTTCTCTAACTCCTCCATGGATTCATTAGAATCCTGATTTTCTGCTGCCCTATGAACTTCTACCAAAACTAACTGTTCATGTTCGATTTCAGGTTTTTGATCTGACAGACCCTGTGATTGATTACTATTTTGTTTTTCTGGTGAACAAGTTCCCTTACCTTGAATATCAACGATGTCACATGTATTTGAAATTTCTATACACCCAATCTTAGTATTGCCAGACCTGTCCATTGGTTCTTCATCATTATTATCTTGATTAAAGTCAACAGTATCAAGTTCATAATACTGATAGTCTGGCACATTTTGTTCTTCCCGTTGTTGGACATCTGAATGATCAAATTCAATACTTGCTACAGCCTTTTGTAACTCACTAGCACCCTGGCTGTTTTCATCCAAGATGAGTGAATCATTTTTAGTTAATCCTTCCTCATTCATGCTTTCAATAACAGAATTATTGTGCACTTCTTCATCAATAAATTTACCATCAGTCAAATTGTCCACATCTATGTTTTCAGATATTACCTCTTCATTTTCTTGAATATTCAATAAATTTTCCGTTTCTTTCTTCACTGATGTCTTTTCTTTAGATTTTTTATTATTTGATTTATTATTACTTTGTTCATTTAATTTATTACTTTCTGCAGAATTACTTCTTGTTTTTCGTTTATCACTTCTTGTAGTTCTCTTACTACTGTTTGCTTTAACACTGTTCAAACTTTTATCTGGATTGTTTTGCTTTAGTCTATCTATTATTTTATCGACTCTTTTAGCAGTATGTTTTCCTTTACCATCTGTCACATTCTGGACACTTTTTCCCTCTTTAACAGGTGATTTAAACAATTGTTTAGCATGTTCTTTCCTCTTTGGCGTTGTTGGTGATTTCAATGCATCATCAGCTTTACTGAATCGGTTCCGTGTATTTGGAGTAAGCATTCGGCGTCTCGAAGACAATGGGGACCTTTGCCACTCAGCCATAACATCTAGAGCATTGGCCCTATTTGGTGACTTCAAGTCATACTTAGAAAGCGATTTAGTGGGAGTAAGTCCAATTTTTTCAAATAATACCTCTTTACTATTTGTTTCATTTTCATCACATATTTTCATTGATTTACTTGGTGCTGATATTACAACGCCTGTTCCACTATCTTCATCAGTGGACTCTGATTCTATGACTAGTTGGACATGTTCATTTCCTTCTTTCTTTTCAATATTTTGCCCTTTCTTTTTACCTTTTAAATTCTCCCTATTCCTTATTACACTCAATGGAACATCATCATCAGAACTATCCGTATCACTTTCAGGTTTAGCATCATTCATTTTCTTGAAATAAAATGGTATCCCTGATTTACCAGATTTAGAGTCTGATTTTTTACCTTTAGGTGACTTATAACGCGAAGCAGGTATCTTAACCTTCAATTTTTCTTTTCCTTTGCTGTCCTTGGACTTTGGATGTTTTGAAGAATTGTCTACCTTTTTACATTTAACCTCTTCAATTTCAGCTTTTTTCTTATTACTTTCTTTCAGCTGGACATGTGTGTCTGAACTACATTTTATTTTAGTTTTAGAAGCAATCTCTTTTTTATCATTTATCTTTTCAATTGATTTATCTTCATTGGTACTCTCCATTGATTGTTCGGCCACCTCCTTAGTTTGCTGGTCAATGTGTTTCATCTTCTTTGGAGTTTCATTTGATACATTGTTTGACTGCCTTGGACTTTTCATTTGCACCTTTTTAGGGGTATTCTCCCTTGATTTGATATCTTTTGATGTCTCACATTTTTCATGATCATCTTTATTTTGTCCATCATTAACACTGCTATGTCTTAGTCCCGATGTTTCTTTCTCCTTTACACACAGTTCTTTATCACCCTTTTCCCTATCATCTGGCTTCTTGTTTGAACAGTCATCTTTTATATCAGTAACGTTAATATCGACTTTATCATTGTGTGTTTTAGGCATGTTCTGTACCAGTGTAATTGGTGTCGAATTAACGTAAACTCTATGACCTGGATTAATAACTTGATTTGCATGTAGAATTAAAACACTTGGGCTTTTGTCTTCAGTTTGAAATTTTGGATAAATCTTACGGTAATGAGCAATATCCGGATCGTCAACATTCGGACCAAAGTTTAATGCTCGAACAGTGGCCCCTTTATGTAAATTTGGAAATGGTGTAGCTGTATAAATCTCTGGATTCAAGTCAGCACTACCATCATGTACGCCACCAGACTGGCCAGATGACGGCGGAGTTGGACTGAATCGATCAGTTTCTTCATCTTTAGCAATTTCCTCTTTCTTTTTCCGCGCCCTGGTTTTTCGTTCCGAAACAGACCTCTTGGATGCTTTTGATTTTGTTTCATTGCTATTTCTCTTTTGAATTTGCTGGAGTACTTCTGAAGTTTTGCCAGCCTCTATTGCACTCATCAGCTGATGGGTTACTTGGTTCTCTGGAGCTATAGAATAATGTGTGGATTTGTCTAAACTTTCATTATAAACACTAATTGTTTTGGAACCATCGGCAGTGTCTACATTCTCGTCCATTCCAAGGACACTCAGATCAATTTGATCCTCACAGTTCAGTAGTGGAACGTTTATCACAGTTTTACCACCAGGTGACCGCAAGGTGATACTATCAGACTGTCTTTTTTCAGGTGTTCTACATGTACTTTGCAAGCCAGCAAATTTCATTGACAATGGAAATGTATTCAAATGAGTTAAAGGTTTTTCCAGTAGTCCTTTCACAGTTGCAAAAGATCCTGAAAGAAATTTTAAGTCATATGTAAAACTAAAATGGATGATTTTTGTTTGACAAATTGCGTTATTGATAACTACCATATATGGCAGTTACAAAATATTGGAAGACATTACAATAATATAAAACAATATGAACCAGAATTAGTCAACTGTAGCCCTACTGTGAAGTCATATATACCGGTACTCATCATTCCAAGTGTACAGCTTTTGTTTTAAAACAATACATGTACTATTTCTACCTGAGAATAATTGTTCTGAAATTCTGAAACACGGCAAAATTGTAAAATGTTGCAGGCTCGGTTTGATTGAGCCTGTTCATGGACAGTAATGGAAATTGCAAGTTACCGTCCAAGTCCCCTAGCACCGTCCACGCCCCCTAGCACCTGCTTAAGCAGAATTCAACATTTCAACACTAAAATGGTGAAATTTTGAATTTAGAAACATCCGCAGATGTGTTCCAACCTTGTTAAACCTTTTTTATTCAAATCAATGAGCCTATGCCTACATGTATACAGTGTAACTTCTGAATAAAATCTGGAAACTTCTGAATTCCTAATATTTTTCAGGGTCCCAAAATTTCTCCAATTTTCTATAAAATTAATACCTCTGAATTACGGGACTTCTAAAATCTGAACTATTTTCTGGTATAATTCTGGTTATACCAATTCAAATTTACTTCCAAAAAAAGTGTGAAGAAATATCATAATTGAGATTGTAAAACCTTCAAAATGTCAGTATCTTCCAATAAACAGTAACCATTTATCTTAACACCTATTAGAATCACAACCTGTCATTCAAGCATGTCAAACACTTGATTACATGAAATATACTAAAGAATCAATTGTGATACTTAATATTATGTTATTGTATCAACAAATTCATTGATAGTTGATGATAAAATTTAAAAAACTTATAAAATTTAAAATAGTTATTAACTTTTTAAATAGTTCTATAATTTTACCATTTTATGGATTTAATCAGCTTTATATATTTTTCATCCTGTCTTAAACAATTGATTTTTAATGTTTCTACTTGTTCAGATAATTCTAAACTTCTGATTTCCTGAAACTTTCAAATTCCCAAAATATTAGCTTGTCCCACGGGTGTTGTTTTCAGAAATTACACTGTATTAAGTAAGTACTTGATAGGGGGATTCAATATGTATAAATATAAATTTTTTTTAATTTTAGCTTAAATACCTGAAACATTCTTTCTCTTGACAGGTTCTCTTTTCCTTCTAGATCTACTAGCACCATTAGGTTGATTATTTTGCTTTGTCTCACTATTTGAAGGTGGGGGTAGACTAATACAACCTATTGTGTTCTCAATAGTTGTACATGGCTCTCTGGAAGATGGACTGTTCACATCTTGTTGAAGTAAATGCAAATACCCTTCCGTGCTATGTCCAAAATGGCCAGTTCCATTATTACTGTTAACATTTTTGTTACTCACTTCATTTGTTATTTGTGAATTAAAGTATAGTCCACTGTTACTGTTCAAATGATATTCATTTGAATGAGTAAGCAAGGGGCTATGAGGGTGAACATCTGCCTTAACCAGAGGGCTACAATGAACTGGAACATGAGAGTTTTTAACGGCACTGTGCTGAGAACGGATCGGTGACGAGAGGTGAAAATGGTCCGGATTTCCTGGTCCAGTTGGTGTTGAATGCATCACATGACTAATATTGGACTGTAACGGAGTGGCAGGATTACTGTATGGATCCCCTGCGTGACTCCCTGGTGAATTTGGTCCTCGTGGACTGGTTCCATTTACATACGTAGATAAATGCTGCTGGTTGTGAGGGGTAGGTGGATTGTTCACCTCACTGTAGTTAGAGTATGCTGGACTGAAAGGTTGCGTGGCTGTACTACTAGGGCTTATCTTGTCATTTATTCCTGTATTTTTTAATCCACCAAAGACACTAGATGAATGCACCGGGCTATTTGCAATCCCGCCTTCTCTTAGTATAGGTTTAAAACTAACTGGCACACCATTTCCACATGGAGTAGAAGTTGCATGAGTTTGAGGAGATCCATGTTGGGTGGAGAACAGATCTTGTGAACCAAGAGCCACATGATGAGGAGAACTATAAGCAAGTTCCTGCGTTTCATATCCTGCATCAGCATTAGACACACCAAAGTTCGCACACAAAATTTCTGCAAATATAAACATAAAAGAAAATAAATACTAAATCATAGCCTACCCTGACAATGTTAAATGACTACAATCGATTAACCCATTTTTCAAAATGACAAAAAAACATTCATTATTTTTAGGAAAAAATTCAAAATATATACTGACTGATCAGAGAACAATGCAGACCATGATCAGACAATATAGATGTCCAGACTGAACTTGGTCTGCAGCTCTAGAGGCATGAGTAGAATCTGTCCCTTCTAGCAGGCTTAAGAGTTAAATGGACATCTGTTTTCAATTAGAGAATTTATTTTTCCTTTTATGTTAATGATTGAAATATAACAAAATTAAGCAACATACGTAAAGTTTTACTTTCAGAAACTTGTCTCACACCTAAGAGAATAGTCAAGAATGAACAATGAAAAATTTATGTCTAATATTTGACAAATAGCACTAAATGTAGATTCTTAATTTTTTCATTTTCATTATGAGGGAACAAGGATGATGGCCATCCTTTGACAAACTCAATCAAACTGAACCTGAACTATGGACATTTTGGCCCTGTGACTTTAAAAGCTCTCACTCTGACCATGTTTCTTCTACAGACAATTGTATTTCAGCAGTAAAACATTACCATGATTGCTTCTCTCCAGTTCCTCAACCTCGGCCTCCATCAATGCTAACTCTTTCTCCTTCTCTTTCCTGAGGTATTCATTAAAAGTCTCCCTATCTGTGAACAAATCAAATTATTCAGTATGCTAAACCTACTTTATTAAGCCAATCATAAGATTTTCTGTATAATACCATATGACTGTACAAATATATTCCAGCATTTGTATTTATGATGTTTAAAATTTTGAACTTTCAATTTGCCACATGGCTTCACCAATAGGTGTTTCCTTTCAGTTGAGAACTAATCCGAATATGTTCCCATATAAGTAAAATACTAAACAGCTCTGTTACATATCTTTGGGTTTTACATTGCATCAACACTGTATAGGTCATTGTCATATGGCAACTTACGAGCATTATTGGTGGAGGAAAACCTTATGTGTACATCAATGCATTATTAGAGGTATAAGCCAGCACCAGAGTAGAACCACTGTCATTTAGTCAGCTAGTGGGATAGCTTCATTATCTGAAAAAATCCAAAGTCCCAGTAAAGGATTCGAACTTACAGCAGTTAGGGACAAGTGCTTTGAATATCACTCAGTCATGGATTGACAGTAGATCAGTAAATTGAATGTTTTAACTTAAATATTAATCTTTTTTTTTTTTTTTTTTTTTTTAGAATTTTTTCAATAAATTCTAATCTAGTAAAATATACCCTAGACAGTGTTTATAAACCATTTACCTGTTCCAAACAATTTGAAAAGTGATGAATATGCTGGGTCACTCATATCTATGTTATCACTCAACATCTCCGAGTGGAAATTGTGATCCTGAAATTAATATATTGACTTTAAACCTTTTCCACATTAAATATTTACAAAGTACTTGTCCAGCTTGCAATCTGGACAAAACCATTTAATTTTTTATTTTTAGGTGAAACTTTAAAATATGTACAGACTGAAAAGCCAACAATGCATACCATGAATAAAACATTTCATTTTACTAGATTTCACATAATGCTTGATTGGCTGTAGGGTATTTGGACTAGTGTACTTAATCAAATAGTAATATTGAGAAATTACTGTGCAAATTCAAATGAGAACAAGTCTTGGAATTCCAGTTATCTATTTTTATTTCTGTCGGTTTATTTTCATTATCCATAAACATGCCAGCCTTTTGAAACTCTCTAATTGGGGATGGTGAACGAAACTCGGACGACTCAGACTGCATATTTCAGGTCCCATCATAGGCAATACAAAAACAGTTGCTTCAGTATAAAAACTTATTACCTGAAACTAGTTAATTTTTACAAATTCATTATGGTTCATAATCCTTCGTACCCTGAAACTTAAATAAGACATATTTCAGCACATACCAGGCCGAGTATTTCCTCCAATGATTGTGATGCTGTAACTGTTTCGTGATCATATGAATGATTGTTAGGAACAGGAGATATCTGATCACCTGGTCGTGTGTCAGACTTATTCTCTTTACCGCTGTTAGCCAACTTTATCTGACCTGTAGAAAGTAATATTTAATATGTGTAATTTAGTATATTTAACAATCCTGTATGATAATATGTTCCATGTTTCAATAATTACAGGTTATGAGGTAGTTCTTCATGGTTAATTTTTAATTTCATAGTTCAACTAAAGTTTTAAAACAATCAACAAAGATGTTAATTTCATAGTTCAACTAAAGTTTTAGAACAATCTTATCAACAAAGATGTTAATTTCATAGTTCAACTAAAGTTTTAGAACAATCAACAAAGATTTACTTCATTCTATTGCTTATACATAAATTAAGGAGTTTTTAACTAAGACTTCTTCTTTATGTACTGAGCATATAATAACTAAAATTGTAAAGCAATGTGGAATAAACAAGCCTGGATGAATACAAATGGTTATTACTTATAAACATTACTGATAATGATGTCAAGATGGATATGAATATAAATTTGGGGAAAAAATATTTTTTTTTGTATTAACCATAACCCAGTCTCCACTTTTAGTTTAAACATATTTATTTTAAATTGATTGCGAAACAAGTTCTTGCAACTTATACAATGTATTAATCACTGTCGGGACTGCTTCCTAGAACCCACCAATACTGGTGTCGTATGAAGAAACATGTTTGTGACCCAATTAGGGCTCGAGCCCATGATCCCTGGGTTGACAGACAGATACCTAAACCACTAAGCCACCGCTCCAAATTTGAGATTATTCATTACCAATTTTAGAGATATTTTTGAGACAAAATTTGAAATTGGTTATCAAACAACATAAAAACACAGACAGGCTGCACAGATGTGCAGACTAACCTTGCTCTATTCTGGTGACAAAGTCGAATCTTTTTTGGCACCAGCAGGGTCAAGGTAAATACAGTAAAGAAAGTGCTATACTTACTATGTACAAGATTACAAGTCTCAGCTAATTTCTCATGTAACCGATGATCTGCCAGAATTTTCTCAAATATCTGAAAATATTAATAATGCTAATGCAGGTAAATGTCCTTAACTAATATAAGTGAGCAACAGTGCATTAAGACATTCTTATATCAATACTGGAAATTGATTTTTTAAAAAAAGTCCAATTATTTTTTGCCAAATATTAACTTGAGTTGAAATAAGTCTACAAGACGCCAATGTTCTCGCATTCTATGTTTTGTCACCTCCTGTGACACACAGACAAGGGCATTCTATATGCCTACATCCCCCACACCTCTTGTGCTAGCATGAAAAAAACCCACTGAATACTAGAGGTGTAACGATTCATCGCGATCTGCCCTGTCCTCGATGTATGCATCGTAAAGAAATAACAAATTCCAATATATTGCGATGTATCGATATAGCGGGGAAGTATCGCAATACACTAACAATATCTTCCAGGTAAATAAGGACAAACGTATTTTTTTAAAGACTGAAGAAAGAAAAATAGCTCGGATGAAAACAATGAACAAGCGCGACTATTATCATATCATCGTTGTCATCTCGTTTCCCCATATCCGCAATCATTTAACGGTAACTAACCAAGTTTTATCAATTGCATATAAATGGGCTGGTGTTCTTTGAACTTGTTCATAATAAAAAAAATAATAAGAGATCTATGCGTTTTCAAGAAAAAAAACAACCTACAAACATGAATTTGTAATTTTATTTAGTCGCACTTGATGTCGGATTAAAATAGTGATGATGACAACATTCCCATGTGATATTCGTCACGTATTTATACTTTCATTTCCGTTGACATCATTTTCCCGTAAAATAACAACAAAACAAACAAACAGAAAACATGTAGACTGCAAAATATTTAGAAGGGGAAACTATAGTTAATCCTCCCTGGTCATATAATTCACGAGTTTTGGGATTATTGTAGTTTTTGGGGAACCAACAGACAGCGTTGTATAATGTGGAAGACCGGACGAGGAGTGTTTGCAAAATTTGCAAACTCAAAATAAAATACGAAAAATTGAGAGTGAAACTGATAAACTGTTATTTACACAGTTGTTGACCTAATTGTAAATCACTTGTTACTATTTTTTCACAAGAAAAATCTTTAGTAGTGTATTGTAAGACTGAAATTGTTAAACTGCCTTATTTACAGAAGTGGACTTTAGTGTTAGAATAGTAGATATCAATTTGCTGTTATGGTATAATTAACAATACCTTTTATCCTTAAGTAATCAGAAAAGTAAATTGTTGAAAGATCAAAATCGGAAACCAAGTGATAACAACAAGTTAAAGAGTTTATTTTTTTGCTATTGTAATAGTTTTATATTATATTCGTAATTATGCTGTAAGCAAATGGCCAAATTTTTATATACGAAGTCTGAAAGTCAGTATCGTGATATGTATCGCACCGCAACATAAGAATCGCAATATGCATCGCAATTCTTCAAAGTAGGCAATACATATCGTGAATCGCATCGTTTTGAAAAACAAATATCGTGACAGAAAAATGCACAGCCCTACTGAATACAGTCTTAATACAAAGTATACAGTTGCGGCATATACCTATGTATTAACACTATGTTTTCTTTTATCAAATTCATCAAAAGTAATTTCACTTAAATAAGTTTAAATAATTAGACTCACTGGATTCACGCTGCCTGGATCAACTGACTTGACTGATACAACACTGACTGGCGACACTTCACTGGTTCTCTTCCTAGGTGTCTTTGGTCTGAAAACAATCAAAAATGGTGTAATGACAGTCATTTATAAATAATTCACAAAGTTATATATATATTTCTTCTTACAGTGATTTCTTGGCATAAAATACATGCCAAATATATGAAGTATAATTTATAAACTGTTAATTATTTCCAAAGTTAGAGATTTACAAAATTTCAAGCTGAGTTATGATAACCAACTGGCTTAGCAATAATTACTAGTTAGTACAAATAATTTTGATTTGATCGTGGTGAAAGCTATAAGCTTATTGAAACACTCTTGAATCCGTTCCTGGAACCAACCAGTACAAAGCAATGAATGTAAAGTTTCTTGCTCAAGGAAACAACTGCTTGCCCCTGACAAGGTTTGAACTAGTCTACCATGGTCAGCAATCCTTAGATTACTTGTCAGACGTGTTAACCGCTTGGCCACACTGCCACAAATCACAAATGTACAAATACTAACTTTTTTCTACGAGGAGATCTGACTGTGTGTTGATCTGAACTTTGCAGGAGTTTCATTGGGGTGTTAATACTTTTATCTCTTGATTCAGGTGAGGTCTTCTTCGGTGTGACATGCAATGGCAACTGAGAAACAGGCTGCTGGTTAGAACCTGTAAAAGAAACAAAGTTTACTATTATTCGTGTCTGTTCAATAGCTTCATTGGAAAGAACTGTTAACATATCCTGAGTAATTGAATTGAAATTAATTGAAATTACAAAGTAATAACAAAGAATCAAATTGAGAGAAAGTTGAATCGTTAACGCCTACAGTAGCAACCTACAAATTTCAGCATCAAAATAGAAAAGTTAAAAAGAATTACAACACTGATGTCCCAGTTAAACATAGTTGCTATAGCAAATAAAACAAAATAGCTTTAGGAAGTGAAAATATATCTGTGAAAAGTTACAATAAATTGCCATGGAAAGTAGGACATACCATGCTCTATAGTACCAGCACCTGGTGTGATTTCCGGAGTATTAGATCTTAATGTATCTGTTGACACAGAAGATTTACTTGTAGTACCACCATAACTAGCTTCATCTGTGTTTGTAGGCAGTTGTGCTGTTGTCTTAACATCATTAAGTTTGGCACTGTTCTCATGCACTGACAGTGATGTAATAGGATTTTTATTTTCTAAACCTGATCTTCCAAAATTTTCATTGGCATTGCAATGTTTTTCATCCATTACAGACTCATCATTTTTCTTTAACCATGCTATACATCTCTCATTAGCATCACTGTTAGATGTTGGTTCTAAAACTGTTTTAACAAATGTTGTCTCAGACATATCCTTTACTGTTGCTGAATTGGCCTCATCATCTTCAGCTGTGTTTATATTCTGCTTAGACGTTTCTTTAGTTTTTCTATGTTTCGGTTCTGCTTCCTCATTCTCTTTAGCACTCTGATCTTTTAAGTTGTTTTTATCAACATTCTCTTCATTACTGTTTTCACCAATGTTGGTAATATTTTCAGACTGTTCTACATCCTTCTGAATTGTTTTGTCTTCGAGACCACAAGGCCTTGTGCTTTCTTCAGTTCTTGCAGTACTTCTAACACATTTTTTCTTTGTAACATTTTGCTCTTGTGCTCCAGTAACATGTTCTGAATCATTTGTTTTAGCATTTTCAACCTTTCTGAGTGGACTTGGAGTGTCAGCTTTTCCTGCTGATTTTGAAGTATGAAGGGGCGATTTTTTAGGCGTGATCTCATTACAACTCCCTGGCTTTAAATCTTCAAAAACTGCTTTATCTGGAGTTCTGCTGTCATAATTTTGTTTTTCTGTAATAACTTGAGCATTTGATGTAGTACTGTTTCTAGGAGACTTAAACCTTAGTCTTGATGACTTGGGGGTACATGGAGATCTCCTGCTTTTCAGTACTTGAGGTGATTTCTTTCCATTACTTCTAGACCTAGCCTTCGTTTTTCGACCACTGTTGGTCACATCATTATCACAAATCAATGTTTCATCAACAGTATCATCAGAACTGGGTGTCTCTACAAAATTGTTTCCTCCAACTGTACTATTTTCTAAAAACATGAAAATATTTTTTCTATATATCTGTCAGAAACTTAGAAATGATTGTGAAAATGGCAGAGAAATTTCACAAATAAATGTAAGAAATTCATATCTTTGAACTTGATAATCAAAACCAGGAAGTAATTTTAACTAACAAATCTATATTAACCTAAAAAAAAAAGCTTTAGTCCTACATTTAATCTATGAATAACAATTAATGTTTAAATATATTTGAGACACATGAAACAACTTACCACTTGAATATTTTTGATGACCCCATTCTTCTAAGATTTTGCACAGATTTAACTGTGTAACTTTTCTCAATGATCTACCTGCCTTCTCCAAGTTGTAGATTTCTTTCAAGTATGAGCATTCTTTTAGAAAACAGTTGTATGTTTTACTATAGCTACTCTCTTTTAAATAACCTAAAAATATTAAAAATAGAATTAAAATTTGAAGATCACACATCTATTTTGTACAATACATTCAAAGCTCCACCTTTATAGAATATGGGAAGCATACATTTCAACTATAAATACATATCTTTGTTTTTATTTATTATTTTTAGCTCACCTGTCACAAAGTGACAGGGTGAGCTTTTGTGATCGCTTTTCGTCCGGCGTCCGGCCGTCCGTAAACTTTAACTTTAAATGACATCTCCTCATAAACCACAAGGCCAATTTCATCCAAACTTCACAGGAATGTTCCTTTGGTGGTCACCTTTAAAAATTGTTCAAAGAATTTAATTCCATGCAGAACTCTGGTTGCCATGGCAACCGAAAGAAAAAAACTTTAAATATCTTCTTTTAAAAAACCCTAAGAGCTAGAGCTTAGATATTTGGCATGAAACATCTTCTAGTGAGTGTCTACCAAGTTTGTTCAAATAAAAGCCCTAGGGTCAAAATTGGCCCTGCACCAGGGGGTCATTGATTTTCCCTATATGCATATAGTAAAAACTTAAAAAATCTTCTTTTAAAGAACCCAAAGAGCTAGAGCGGAGATATTTAGCATGAAACATGTTCTAATGAGTGTCTACCAAGTTTGTTCAAATAAAAGCCCTGGGGTCAAAATTGGCCCCGCCCCAGGGGGTCATTGATTTTCCCTATATGCATATAGTAAAATCTTAAAAAATCTTCTTTTAAAGAACTCAAAGAGCTAGAGCTAAGATATTTAGCATCAAACATGTTCTAATAGGTGTCTACCTAGTTTGTTCAAATAAAAGCCCTGGGGTCAAAATTGGCCCCGCCCCGGGGGTCATTAATTTTCCTTATATGTGTATAGCAAAAACTTAAAAAATCTTCTTTGAAAAAACCCAAATAGCTAGAGTTTAGATATTAAGCATGAAACATCTTCTAGTGAGTGTCTACAAAGTTTGTTCAAATAATAGACCTGGGGTCAAAATTGGCCCCGCCCCGGGGGTCATTGATTTTCCTTATATGTGTATAGCAAAAACTTAAAATTTTCTTTGAAAAAACCCAAATAGCTAGAGTTTAGATATTAAGCATGAAACATCTTCTAGTGAGTGTCTACAAAGTTTGTTCAAATAAAAGCCCTGGGGTCAAAACTGGCTCGCCCCAGGGGGTCATTGATTTTCCCTATATGCATATAGTAAAATCTTAAAAAATCTTCTTTTAAAGAACTCAAAGAGCTAGCGCTAAGATATTTAGCATCAAACATGTTCTAATAGGTGTCTACCTAGTTTTTTCAAATAAAAGCCCTGGGATCAAAATTGGCCCTGCCCCGGGGGGTCATTAATTTTCCTTATATGTGTATAGCAAAAACTTAAAAAATCTTCTCTGAAAAAACCCAAATAGCTAGAGTTTAGATATTAAGCATGAAACATCTTCTAGTGAGTGTCTACAAAGTTTGCTCAAATAAAAGCCCTGGGGACAAAATTGGCCCCGCCCCGGGGGTCATTGATTTTCCTTATATGTGTATAGCAAAAACTTAAAATTTTCTTTGAAAAAACCCAAATAGCTAGAGTTTAGATATTAAGCATGAAACATCTTCTAGTAAGTGTCTACAAAGTTTGTTCAAATAAAAGCCCTGGGGTCAAAACTGGCTCGCCCCCAGGGGTGTCATTGTTTTTAACTATATGTGTATAGTAAAAACTTAGAAAAATCTTCTTTTAATAAGCCCAATGAGCTTGAGCTTAGATGTTTAGCATGAAACATCTTCTTATGGGTGTCTACCAAGTTTGTTCAAATAAAAGCCCTGGGGTCAAAATTTGCCCCGCCCCAGGGGGTCATTGATTTTCCCTATATGCATATAGTAAAAACTTAAAAAATCTTCTTTTAAAGAACTCAAAGAGCTAGCGCTAAGATATTTAGCATCAAACATGTTCTTATAGGTGTCTACCAAGTTTGTTCAAATAAAAGCCCTGGGATCAAAATTGGCCCTGCCCCGGGGGGTCATTGATTTTCCTTATATGTGTATAGCAAAAACTTAAAAAATCTTCTTTGAAAAAACCCAAATAGCTAGAGTTTAGATATTAAGCATGAAACATTTTCTAGTGAGTGTCTACAAAGTTTGTTCAAATAAAAGCCCTGGGGACAAAATTGGCCCCGCCACGGGGGGTCATTGATTTTCCTTATATGTGTATAGCAAAAACTTAAAATCTTCTTTTAATAAGCCCAATGAGCTTGAGCTTAGATGTTTAGCATGAAACATCTTCTTATGGGTGTCTACCAAGTTTGTTCAAATAAAAGCCCTGGGGTAAAAACTGGCCCCGCCCCAGGTGTGTCATTGTTTTTAACTATATGTGTAAATGTATATGTGGGGGTGGGGGGGAGGGGTGGGGCTATATACAGGTGAGCGACCTCAGGGCCATCATGGCCCTGTGGCCCTCTTGTTTTATATATATCTTTTTACTCATGCATGTTCTTTAACTATAAGATTGTGGACAGCAACCGAACAAGACATGACAAAGGGCTTGCGGTTGCATAAATTTCTACAGACACTTGGGTCATACTTACAGCACCTTGCTCGGCCTCCGTCAACTCTTGAGTAAACTCATAACATTTCAAGATGATTCAAACATATCACAATCATAGACTAAGTTTGATTCAACTTCCAAATACATGTATAATTTTTTAAAAAAAAGTCCTGTTTATCATAAAGTTTAAAAAAGTAAAGATTGCCAACTAAATATTATAAACACACCTCCCCCCATATATTTTAATGTGAACATTCTGTTTGTTACTTTTATCATTTAAAAGTATCAATCGACAGGCTATTGAAATCCGTTTCAGATAGAATAAAAAAAGTTTTTATATTGTGGACAAATCATTTCTCAAATCTCTAAGCGTTAAAGAGGTCTTTTAATATCAACAGAAAAATATCTTCATAGAAATTCTTCATAAAATTTATATATACACATTAATCTTGATTTAACACTTCTGTCAAATTTGTCGAAAATTAATCAATTATGAAAGCTCTATTTCCATCTTTGAAAAGCACTTGTAACTATCTTGCCTCCAAGAGCAAATAGAAAATTGTGATAAGGAAGTTTGATGTAATATGAAAGTAGGCATAACCTATGCACAGGGAAGTCAGGTAAAGTAATTTTCACCTCGTTATAAAGGTGTCATTCTGTATTTAATAGCCAGCTTCTGTTTTCAATCGGAACACCTCGGCCAAAAAGCAGCGGCACGAAATACCCAAATATAGCACTATTTTTTGTTTGTTTGTATCAAATATAGATTATAATGAGAAATAAATATTTATAAAATAATATGACTAAGCCTGTTATAATTTTTATACATTCTATTGATATGGGCAGTTAAGATGTTGTAAGAAAATAAAGTTGTGACATTTGCTTAATATCTACCACTATTGGTTCTTAATGAATATACTTGCAATTTTAAATCAAGATATGATATTTGTTGTCTACACTTACATTTTTAAGGTACAATTTTGTTGAAATTTCATATCATAATACAAGTGTCCATGTTATTTTTTTTAATTAATAGCTTTAATGGAGTATATACTGTATTTTGGTTCAAAACACAATGATAGGAAAATGAATATAATATTGGGTATGTTTGATTATATCTTAGTGAAAGTGTTTATTGTATTCATGATTAAAGCAGTGTTTTTTTTCCTTATATAACTGATACCGGAAAACGGCACCGTTCCCAAAAGAAAATAGACAGCAAATTCATGACTGATAAATTCAGCAAAATAACACTGAATATTTCCTAAAAAATCGGCAAATTTAAAGGTAAACCAAGCAGTGATGGATCAGGGTTGTCATTAACATTTTTTGCAGAAGGTTTGTTTTGAACTTGAAGCGGTCATTTCTGTCTTAATCATGCAAAACAAAGAGTGTTTTCTTAATTTTGAGGCGGCCCATATTGCATTTGAGACAGGCATTTTGGCCTCCTGCCGCCTCTTAATGACAACCCTGTGGATGCTTCCATATTGGTAAGCACACTGTAAAGCAGCACTTTATTAGTATAAAAAGTACTATAGTATAATTATGCAATATTTGGGTATTTCGTGCTGCCGCCAAAAAGTTGCAAGGTTTCCGTTAGACAGTGAGTATGTCATTGAGTTACATTTAAAATGAAAGCGCCCAACTAGAAATGACAATATCACTGGAATGTATAGAAATTGATACGGGGAAGCCAAAGGTAGGGACCGCTAAGCCATGAAATTTTCAGTGTTGGTTTAGTTCGGCGCCGGCATTTTCAATGATAATGGGCGGGTAATTCCTATAACGAACAATTGCAACTTTTCAGATTCATAATATTCATCAGGTATTCCAAGTGAACATGAAAACGATGAATGAAATACAAAATGTAAATGGAAAACATGACCATTTTTTAAACCAACTTTCCCATTCATTGGCTTTGCCTAATTTCATATTTTAATCCTTTTAAAAAGTAAAAGTTGACATCCCTGTCAACTTGTTTCCTTGTAATTAACTTGATGCAGGATGAGCAGAAAATGTTGCCTCGACAATGGATCTAGAAGCTACTTGTCCTGCATAGAAGATACTTTACGATGTCTGCCATAAAACACAATGTTACAGTGATTTTTTTACCTCTGCCTCCTGCGTCCAAAACGCAATGAATTTGCTATGGACGCAAAGTTTCAAATAATGTGCATCTTTTGGACCCATGCATTTTCTGAGTAGGAAGTCCTATCTGGCAGGAATTTGGTAATAAAATTGTGTTCAAGTTACCAGTATGTCAATCTAATGACAGTAAAGGTTTTTGCTAATATTTTTTCCGTTAAAAGCTTATCGTATACATGTAAACATTTTATTTGTGTAGCACTTGATTGGAATGTCAACTTAAACAGAATATATTACAGTAATTTGACCAACTCAATGAGAAATTTCCAATATCGCTCCTGAAATTTTTTAAATACGTTGCTGTTCGGAGATTTTTTTGTAAATTTACTTTAATACTATCAATAGTAACTATATGATAATAGCTCAGCCATTTCAGAGTTTGAAACTGCGAGTCGCTGGTTTTTGGAGGGCATATTGTTGACATCAAGAGCATTTACTTGATTACACTGCACTTAAAAAATCGGCATATCAAATCAAGATGTTTTTAGAAGTTCAACTTTTGGTTTGAATATATCACTGGCAAGTGTACCATTTACATAAACAAATATGAAAATAACAGTTTGACAATGCAACAACAAATTGATAGTTCTGAATCATACAAATAAATGAGCGGTATGCCTAAAATACGTTAGATTTTTGACGCAAGTGACTTTATAAATTCGAATTGTACCGATTTAATAGAATCTAGATTTATAAGGAAGTATAATGTGTTATACGGGCAAGTCAAAGACCCAGAGACCGGGCCCCCGAAGCGGGTCCGGGCTTTGGCTTGCCCGGCTATAGACTACATGTGTACATTTAAAATAAAATCAAATAAAAAACATTAAAAAAATATATAGAATTCTATACCTATCAATGAAATTTTCAGTGTCAGTTCTAGTCGGACGCTGCCATTTACAATGTAACTCAATGATAATAGGCGGGGTATTCCGATAACGGAACAAATCTCACTTTTCGGATCAATAATAATCGTCGAGTGTTCCGAGTGAAAACGGAAGCGGTGCATGTAATACCGAATGACACCTTTAAAACGGAAAGAATGAAAGGAATTTTTTTAACTACTTCCCCGTTTATAGGCTTTGCCTAATTTCATATTACTATAGATCAGTGTTGCATCTAGAATTTCAAAATTATAGGGGATTGTCCCCCACTCAACTGAAAAATGTGGGGGATTTGAAAACAATGTGGGGGACATACACTTACCTTACAATACGACATACCGAAAAAATTCATTTATTTTACGTTCAGGCATTTTTGACAGCTAAAGTCCGCTCAACAACGGAAATTGAAAAATAAAATATTGACGAATACTACAATACACACACGAGATGACCCAGTCGGCTGCTACACAAATTCAGTACGTATTTTAGTCATTACAAAGAGTGAAAACAAACATGGCTGAAGCGTAGCATTCAAGATATGATGAAGATAAACGGAATTAAGTTAAAAAGATCATCAAATGCACGACTTGGCACGCATTGATTTAAATAAAATATGCGCAAATCGCGCGACCTAGATGCAACACTGTATAAAAATGATAAGCATAAAAATATTAAGGAAAACTAAGTTTTAATTTATATCAAACTAAAATAAGAATCTAAACTGATAATTATGATGGCTGATTTGTGCCATTTGCGATTTCGCCCCGCGCCCCCGCCATATTAATTTGTTTATTCTCGACTTTTTGCTTGGCAGAGTCGCGGAACGAAAACACGCTTATTAGCGGGGGCCCGGGGCGAAGTTTTATTTCATTAAACTTCGCCCAAAGCCCCCGCTGTTTTATTTCTTAATTCTAGCTCCTCGCCCTCTCTGGGCAAAGTTTTATTTGTTATATTTCGCCGCCCGCCCCTGCTAATGAGCGTGTTTTCGCTCCCCAACCCCGCCATTTAAACTTGTTAATTCTCGACTTTTCGCTTTGTGGGGTTGTGGGACGAAAACACACTAATAAGCGGGGGCGCAGGGTGAAGTTTAATAAAATAGAACTTCGCCCCGCGCTTTGCCTTTTTATTTCTTAATTCTCGCTTCTCGCCCTTGCAGGGCGAAGTTTGATTTATTAAATTTTCGCCACACGCACCCGCTAGTTAGGCTTAGCGTGATTTCGCTCAGCGACCCCGCCATTTTAACTTGTTTATTCTCAACTTTTCGCTTGGCAGGTTCCGAGACAAAAACACAAATCATCCACCATAGAAAAATTATTGAAATCAAAGTCATTATTTTTCTTCATTACATTGTTAATACGGGGAAGTCAAAGACCAGGATTTTTATCGAAAAGTGAGAATTTATTACATTTGTTGATCTTTTTCCTTCTTTGTCTATGTAAAATTTTCCCCCTTCCTCTCAAAAAATAGGGGTGATTTCTCAAAAAAAAAGGGGTGAATCCCCCCATCGCCCCTCCTAGAATAGACACTGTTTTTTAACTTCTCCGTCCATAGGCTTTATACCATTCATATCACACAAGCAATCGTAAGCCTTGTAGCATGGACTTGTCGGTTAAATTTTGGGACTCATAAGATTTATAGCCCAGCGAGTCATAGGACCCACACTGATGAATTTGTAAAAATATCACTGTTACTTTTATGTTGGGTCCTGGTCATTTAGACTTGAGAATCTGCCAATAACTAATTTTAGCTTAATAATCTTCTAAAATATTGTTTCTCCTCTAAGTGCTCCGCCTGGTCAGTATCAAAGACAAACCCTAGATTCTATACACAGAAAATTATCATGATTATGTTTGGAACAAAAAAAAAACTGTCAACAATATCGCGAATATTTAGCATCTGACTAGCTACCCACCAAGAACTATTCTTGCAACATCGGAAGGCATGAAATACAAATCGCCCATCTTCTATTAGTAAGTTTAATTTTCTTCAGATAGGAATAAAGATTAAATTCTAGGATTTTTTTTAGACTTTAACAGCTTGGAGAAATGGCGGGCATTTTGACGCTTTCTGACATTTAACATTTGATTGAAATATTTACATTGAAGAATATATTCCAATTTTCTTGACTTTAGTTAACCAAAACATCCGTTTAAACCAAAAAGACTTTAGAAAAACGAAACGAACCGCTGTATTACGGTAATAGGACATTTTGGACCATATGGACATTTCGGACCAGATTTTAGGACATTTCGGACCATGTGTTGGGACCCATGTGTTGGGCATTTCGGATCATGTGTTAGACACTTGGGACCAGTGTTTTGGACATTTCGGACAAATATATTTTGCCGTGAAATTGTTACTCATTTTATAATGTAGTCTAATCAAATTTAATATATTTTTATAAAATTAAATCAAAAATCTGGAAACAAAGTGATCCCTCGGAAGCATTAATCACAACAAAATTACAAGAGAATTGCAGACTCGGTGTGATTGAGTCTTTACATGAGGGATTATGAATAAGTGCAACATCCCTCACGCCCCCTAGCACCGGCTTGAGCGGTACTCAATCCTCAACACTTAATTAATAGTGCTGGCATCAAATTGATTTAAGCCATAAAACTTCTAATTCTATATGGTCAGCAAATTTTACGCCCTTTACATTCAGGCGAGAAAATGCTGACCAGTTAAACATACAGTAGAAACTGCTGACCAGTTAGATATATAGGGAAAATGTAGTCTCAATATTTCGACGGCAAGACAGACCGATTTTATAATCTGATATTTCATAGATGTCTGTCATAGATGCGAAGGGCGACCATCGTCTATATAAAAAAGCCCTAAAGCGCACAATTTGTTGGGCTAGGGAAAATGCTGACCAGTTAGATATATATAAAGAAAATAATTATATTTTGCTGTGAAATTGTTACCCGTTTTATAATGCAATCAAATTTAATATATTTTATAAAATCATGTCGACATTTATTTAAGTAAAAACACTGCTGAACAATTTGATATTAATTCAAATTGATTTAAGCCGTAAAACTCTTCTTATTCCATATGGTCAGCAAATTAAATAACGCTCTTTACATTCAGGCGAGAAAATGCTGACCAGTTAAAGGGGCTACACTGAGGTCTGACAGGTAATTTGGTGTCCAAAAAAAATGTAAACAAATTTCTTCACAAATCACAATATTATGACTAAAATAACAATAACTTACACTTTAACCAACCCTCTAACAACAATTATGCTAGAAAATGCATTTTCACATTAGCTTTTGATGCAAAAATTAAAGTTTGGTTTCCCAGACATGTACAGAAGTTACCCACAATTCATCGGGTATAACTAAAAAATACGCAACGGACATTTTTGGAACAACAGAGTAAACGGGGTAAAAAAGTCTATTGATTTTTCTCTTCACTCTAACCTATCTGACATGTTTATATAACTTAAGTATAACGAAGAAAAACTGTATAAAAGATAATCAAGGTAGCAATTTCGTTGTCTTGAAAAAAACAAACGCCAGCGAAGCGGACATTTTTCTAGACAAAACGGAAAGATATTATATACATGTACAATTATTTTCATTCACATTTCAGTTTTCAATTTCAATATTTTAAGGCAAACATAATGCATCGGTGATATTTATACTATAACGAGCACAGTGTAATCACACTAATAAATGTATTTAACACTATCTATAACGTATTTAAATCAAATACAGTTAATGATATGTCTCATTTGATTTGATTGTTTTTGGATGTAGTGGGGGTTACGTCACACAAGACTGTGTAGGTCATTTTAGCGACTCTTCAGTTTTACTGGTGGAGTAAGAACTCAGGTGCCCCCTTTGCAAAATTGTTTCTGGCACAAACAGGCATCTGTGTATGTAATGAGTTACGTTTCGTAGGCTATCTTGATAGGATCGTACATACACGTACCCACACACAATTACATCATATTCATACAATAGGCAAAATAGGCACGTTCCCTGTTGTAACAATATGAAACCCCAAAAAAAACCTATGAACCAGCTTCTGAATGTGGCATTTCTATCGTTATTCCCAAAAAAGCACCCCCCCCCCCCCCCCCCAAAAAAAAAAAAAAAAGAATGAGTACATCAATGGGCATGCTCTGGAGTGTTTGGGAACTATTACCTGCACTCCAGTTTACGCACTGTGCATGTATACGAATTCGATTTAACTCTGACTTGTTTTCAACAGAAAAGTCTTCAAACTATGATACAATAAATGTTTATGATTCTATTAGAAAACTTGTTTTGAGAATTTAATGATTTTTCGGTGAAAACGATATAAATTACTTGTGCTACAGATTGAGATCAAAGTGCTGAAGGCACTGATGAAAAAAAACGGATAAACTAACACATTTTCACTCCAGGTTCACAGGTAAATGAATTTTATGTGTCGCGGTTTACATCATAATATCAGCTAACCTTTGCTTTTTTGCGACTTTTGTTTTTGAAAATAATCTAAACGAGTAAAATAAACCCTCTTTTTATTGGCAAATAATTTAATAAGTAGCAAACCCCGATTTCTCTTCATAAATTGGCTTAAGCAAATTCTCTTCTATTCAAATATTAAGAACATTCTGTCAAGTGACGTGTCTTCTAATTGAAATCTCCTGGTGAGTATGTTTCGGTAACAGGAAGAAAATGACAGTCTGTTCATTTGATCATGACTGTGAAAAATCAAGTTTTGTGAACCAATTTATCCTGCCGATAAAGATTTTGCAAGCAATCTGGTTGTTTATGTTCAAGTGCTTACACTTAGTATTTAATTCCAAAGAACATTTCTTAGGAGACATTAAACGTTTGATTACAGTTTAATCACTGTAACCGAAATACTTAGGAATTAATTTTAATTCCTGTTACTGTTGAAATTTTCGTTCATGTTTTTTAAAATACTTAAGTAGCTCTATAAATTTTCAAAACGATATCCAGTATTTCCGAAACAATCAGAAAGGCTTCTAATACATACTCTTTATAAATCTTAAAGTATTACCAGAACCACCCACCTAATATCCAGAACATACAAACGAAAAAACAAGATAAATCAAAAGGCTGCAAGCTCTGTGGTATTTTCTGATCTTTGCAATCTAAATCGCACTTTAAAACTGTATTATTTTCCTGTATAAGTTTATTTTCATGTACTATAATTCTTCTTGCTTGGTACCAGAGTTTGATACATATGGAATTTTCATGACTATGGTTGCATCAAAAAAAATCGTTTATGTTCATTTTTTATGACAGTCATACTTTATCCTTGCATATCGTGGCTATTTCCTTAACAAAGAAACTTTATAAAAAATAATTGCCTTGAATTGGATTTTGAAACCCCAGACACACTAAACGAGCGCGTTACCCTTGCACCACGGAGAAGATATACGAACAATGCCTGAATAAAATCAAGTAATACTAAATTTAGATTTTCCATTGCATTTCGGGTTTGTAATCCTTATTAATTTCGAGGTTTTTTCTTCAAGAAAAACCTGTTGTTTAACATTGATGTAAATAATTTAACAAAAATCTTCCCGCCAAAACATTCCGACATGTATATATTCAACTACTCGACAGTCAGATTTATTTGTGAAAAACGCTCTTGACATCGCTTAAAATAGCATTTTCATTGATTAAAATGATATTCATCCGCGTAATTTGTGAATGTGCATTCATTGAAAATTCTGTAACCCAAAGCTACTTTTAAACTTTGAATGCGTTGTAATTTGTTGGATAACAAAATGAAATTATTTCTTTCTTTTAAATCGCCAGTTTTCAGCTGTTTTAAGAACTGCTTGTTGTTAGGTTTGTCGTGAAACCGCTGTGTCAGAGATATATGCAACACCCACACAACCAAGCAACACAGGACCACAGCTAAAGTATCAATGAAAAATTTAATTTCAGGTTTTCAAGTGGTAAATAAAAAGACTAAACAAAAAAAGAGAAAACAGGAAGAAAGAAGAGACAAAAGTAGAGAAAAGTAAAGGTGGCAAGAAAAGCAGGGTTCTCTTCCTAACTTAGTTATGCAATGAAATGCACCCGATCAATATTTAGCCATTGCAATTTTTGAAACCAGTCACTCGTGTTTTCAAAATAGTCGGGAAATGAACCTGACCTTTTTTATCAAAATATTTAAAAATCTATTAGCAATGAGTATGCCATGATAAACAGGCTATAAGGAGTAAAAACAATGGTTAAGATATGCATTGCCCTTTCCCAAAATTATACCGTCTAGGAGTTGGAAGTATTATAAAACATAGTTTAAGCAATGGTTGTTGTATGAGGTGAGGTTAATACTATGCCTGCCCTTCACATTTGTCTTGCAAGTATCATGATTTTGTTTGTTTCGTTTAATTTGGAAGAAAGTTAGGGTTTAAAGAACAACAACTATATAATCAGTTTTAAGTTTATTTCACTAGTCACGGCAATAGCCCTGCTGTGGAAGCTTGACTGTGTTGGGGGCTGCGTCCTGTGAACGTTACCGTCGCCTTGTCTGTCTTTATTCCAGTTTTCCTTTTTTACTCTTATAACGCCCTCAATTTCTTTTCCACCGGGAAGCTTCAATATATTGGTAACATTAAAGGACAGCTCAATTGACCCATCACTAGTACGGAGGCCTTCCAATAAAAAAGAAATTTATCAGGATATCTGCTAAATCAATAATGATAATAATTATATTAATAGAGCCAGATTGTTACTCTTTTCAGACCTTCTTGATAATGTTTAACATGTGCATGAAACAGGTATCAATTACCTATAGTTTTGAATGTCTAGATCAAAACGTAGTAATCTTCTCATCAACAAAGTTTACATCCAATGCCAATAACTATGCTAGTATGTATGTAAAATGATAAATATTAAATTTCAGATCTATCTAGCAAAGGAGATCGATTTTTCATTATAGAATTTTAATTATAAATAATATGCACTAGACAAACATAAGAAATATTAACTAATAAAATTGAAGCCTAAATGTCCTTTAATGAGGCCGGATTCATTCTCTATTTAGCCAGTGCTTTCAGTGCTTTGATCAGAGTTAAAGAGAAATCTCTGGAATAACATTCTGTGTGTGCGTGTGATTTTTTTATGCTTACAATACTCAAGTTCATGTTCATTGTATAAAAGGTATTACGAAGTTTTTTTTCCTGAACGGGTGTCAGATAAACCAAAGTGACCTTTGAAATAGGACCCATAACACTGATTGACAAAGTAAATTTTCTAAGCCTAGATATCAGGATATTTTAACCATTACGGAGTTAATACATAATATTTAATAATTACACGAAAGCTCTCAAATTAACATAGAATATTTGTAAAATGTGTGTATGTCAGTTTCCAACTCCGTACGTTTAGCTAAATTCATCATTGTAATGGAGAAAAAAACATGATTACAACAATGCAATGCTTTAAATATATTGAAATTGCTTTTGAAAGATTTTGTTCACAAGAACATATGTGAACAACAAGAAATTTAACAAACAAACCCATAATTTGCTTTTAAATTTATGGATTGTTGGTATATTCCACTTTCACACTTTCGTTGCTGCCGATACACAAAAAATTCTCCGTTTCGCTTTTTAGTCATCCCGACAATCATCACGTGACCGTTGTTTTTATTCAGATTTGCAAACTGAAAGGTGTTTAAACGCTTTTCCCACAAAATTGGAGAAAATATGTATTTCAAACGATTTGCCAATCCAAAGAACACATAGCAATGTATCACTGATTCTGTTTGAATGTCCCTAACACGCAGGTAACAAAAAATTATCGGTTCGTGAAATTTTACTTATTTTTGTGACATTCGGCCGTACCTCAGTGGAGTACCTTTAAACATATAGTAGAAACTGCTGACCAGTTAGATATTATAGGGAATCTGCTGACCAGTTAGATATATAGAGAAAAATATATTTTGTCGTGAAATTGTTACTCGTTTTAAAATGTAATCAAATTTTATTAAATCATGTTAACATTTATTTAAGTAAAAACACTGTTGACCAATTTAATATTGATTCAAATTGATTTAAGCCGTAAAACTCTTCTTGTTCTATAGGGTCAGCAAATTTAACGCTCTTCAGGCGAGAAAATGCTGACCAGTTAAATATATAGTAGTAACTGCTGACCAGTTAGATATATAGGGAAACTGCTGACCAGTTAGAAATATAGAGAAAAATATATTTTGCTGTGAAATTTTTATAATTTTATAATGTTATCAAATTCAATTTATTTTATAAAATTAATTCAAATTGATTTAAGCTGTAAAACTTCTTATAATGTATGGAAATTCGTTTTATAATGTATGGAAATTTAATATATTTTAAAAACTCATGTCGACATTTAATTAAGTTAAAACATTGCTGACCAATTAAATATTAATTCAAATTGATTTAAGCCGTAAAACTCTTCTTATTCCATATGGTCGACAAATTTATGGCTCTTAACATTTAGGCGAGAAAATGCTGACCAGTTAAACATATAGTAGAATCTGCTGACCAGTTAGATATATAGGAAAAATGCTAACAAGTTAGATATATAGAGAAAATATATTTTGCCGTGAAATTGTTACTAATTTTATAATGTTATCAAATTCAATTTATTTTATAAAATTAATTCAAATTGATTTAAGCTGTAAAACTTCTTATTCTATATGGTCAGCAATTTTAGTTAGATATATAGAGAAAAATATACTCTGCCGTGAAATTATTGCTCGTTTTATAATGTAATCACTTACAACAGATTTTGATAAAAAGACATAACATCATAATTCTTTATAAAACATTACTTGAAATTTTTGCATATCTTTAGAGGTATAAAAAACTGTTTAATATATCTTTTTAAAATGTATGATATTATGGTACTTTACATGTATATATTAATTTAGTTTTATCATTTATAAACATAGTCATATCAAGGGGCAGAACGTGAAATGGTTGCACACTTGGTTCAAGCGAGCGAATTGGTTGCAAACTTGACAAAATGGCAAACACGGCGTGATTTTTTGAAACGGGTGAACGAATTTTTGCCAGGCAAGTGGGTTTCTTTGTTATTTTGAAGTTCATTAGTATGTCTATTCCATAATTCAATATATATGCCACACTCGGTTAAAGGTTTCAGCATCCTAGATTCTGTTTTGACGAAGTTATTGAAGATATAAATTGATCATGTAGATATTTTGAAATTTGACATGTGACTGTTCTGGTCGGGTTTTCTCCTATTTTTTTCGAATTTGTAAGTTTTAAACTGCATTTAACATTAACAAAATATGTTTCTGTCAATGCTGTACAAATGGTTTAGTTCGCAAGTCCGAAGATAACGTTCAATTCTCAAAAATATCTTGTTCAAGCACATTTTGGTTGCAGACTTATACTTCAAGCATTTTTGGTTGCAAACTTTTTTGTCAATAATGTGGCATGCATATTTTTAGCGAGGAATAACTTATCTTTTTTTAAATAATCAGCTAATTCGTCAGCAGTTTAGTGCGACCCATAAATATCAATTTGTGTTATATTATGCATCAATTATTCTATAAACTGAAGATGAACTTTAAAACGTGTGAAAAAAGTAAATATAAATAGTTTCTAATAATGTACGTCTAAAACCTGCAACTGTATTGTAAAAGTCTATTAAAACGCTATAATTCATATTTTAAGAGCCACTTTCGCTCACTTTCGTAATAAAAGTCACTTTCGTATTTTAGGCATACCGAAGTGGATAGTGACCAAGTGATTACAGTTCGATTAAATTATAAATAATCATAACTTTATTTCAAAATCAAGCACAAGTTTTACGACATGGCCGGTCAAAGGTCACATTTAAATAAAACAGAGAAGCAAGATAGAGATAAAATAATATTTTTTTGTTAATATGGCAATGACATTCAAAACCAAAGATAGACACGGATACTCAGTAAGATTTTCCCCGTACATACCCACCAGATTTGCCTGCAGCACTTCTCAATATTATGGAATAGCTGGTAAGACGTCAAAACGTGCATGCTTAAGTTATCTTAAGTTATATTTAAAAATAAAGTTTCCTTTTAAAAGGAAAGGCTTGCACAGTTGTGCCTTCATACCAACCCTTTAAAATTGTGTTTTTTTATTGGTTTCAATTTATTATCACATTTTTTTTTAATTACGGTATTTGTTTTTGTATATCATAAAGGGTTTATAAAATTATTTAGTTGGTTTTTTTTTTTTTGGAAAACCGAATATTTTTTGTCAAAACGATTTGAAATCTATTCTCTATTGTATAAAACTAATAAAGAAAATGATCAATCGTAAAAATACTAACGTGATACTGAAGGAAAACAAGTGTGCACATTTCATTTCCCCTTTTTCGCAGCGAAATCATTCCTTTGCTTTAAAATCAAGTAAATGCACTAAAAAAACTTTGTTACGTGGTACCAATTAATAAGCATGTATCAACTATGTTACACGATCACAAATAGACGATATCAGCACCAAACTCCTCACAGCTGTTACGTCTCGCTTTGCTACTTTAACTGTGCAGACCAGGGGAAGTAACCGCTGCGAGGAGTTTGGATCAGCACGTGGCAAGGTTAATGATATGCATGGGCTATTTTTAGATTACCTCACCAAGAAGTTCAGTAGATCTAAATATAACTCGATCATGCATGATTTGGTAAGCAGGACCACCCTTTAACGTGGTTTACTTACTTCTAAGTTGATAGTCTAGCACTTTTTGTGCTGTTGATTCCTTAAAATTGTATTGTTGAATAGATTCTTAGTTTAAATTGTCTGCATTTTTACATTAACATCGAAATCCAAGTTTCACCACAGAAAGGTCTCCTTTTGGTTTTGACATTAAAGCGAGATTTTGCCCCAGAACGAAAATATCTCAGAATCAAGCTTTGGCACGTCAATATATTTTGACTAGGAAGTGGCTAGCCCTACGGGCCCATTCCACAAACGCTTGGGGTCAAGATATTGCCATTGCCCCCCCCCCCCCCCCCCCCCCGCTCTGTTGTACATGTTAATCAGATAGATCTATCATGCAATTTGTTCATAAGTAGATGCAGGTATTTTGTACTGTAAACAGAAACGAATTAATTGGTGGTGTTCAACCATCATCGGAAGAGGGACCACTGCCCATGCGTCGGCGTTTGGAAAATCCCTTCCGCCATTTTCTGTTAATCTCTAATCACATATGTTGTTTTTTACATAATTTTTAAGTGCTAATATATCAAAAAGGATTTAAGAGTAACATTTTACATTTATCATCATTACTATATAGTTCTTATGAATGAAATTAATGTTTATTTTCTGATTTTGTACATCATTCTTTCACCGGAAGTGTTATTAAGCATGCGTCTGCTAGCCATAGTCTGAATTATGTAGACCCTCATTAAAAGCGCTGTGATATCTATATTTAGCTCAAAAGGATTTCAAAATGGCAGCGCCCAGTTAACTAAGGATTTTTTCACAGCTCATTAGGTAAAGGATATATATTTTTTATACGCCCGTTTGAAAAACGAGACGTATTATGGGAACGCTCCTGGCTGGCGGGCGGGCGGCGTCCAATTTTGTCCGGAGCATATCTCCTACATGTATAGAGGGATTTTAATGAAACTTCATAGAAATGTTCACCACTATGAGGAGCAGTGTCGCGCACATGAACCAGGTCTCTAGGTCAAAGATCAAGGTCACACTTAGAGCTCATTGAAAAATGCTTGTCCGGAGCAAAACTTCCACATGTATAGAGGGATTTCAATATTACTTGGCACAAATGTTCACCATTGTGAGGCGGAGTGTCGCGCGCAAGATTCAGGTCCTTGCGGCCAAGGTCAAGGTCACACATAGAGGTCAAAGTTCAGATAAAAATATGAAGATGTGTATATGGACCATTTAGTCATCATCATTGAGGGATTGTAACACAAATGGTCATTATCAAGACTATGGCTGTGATACATATAATTTAGGTCAATATATACAAGGTCAAGGTCACTCAAGATGATGAAATATCCAGATTTTGTCTGGAGCATATCTCCTACATGTATGGAGGGATTTAAGTGAAACTTCATAGAAATGTTCACCACTCTGAGGAGCAGTGTCGCGCACATGAACCAGGTCTCTAGGTCAAAGGTCAAGGTCACACTTAGAGCTCATTGAAAAATGCTTGTCTGGAGCAAAACTTCCACATGTTTAGAGGGATTTCAATATTACTTGACACAAATGTTCACCATTGTGAGGTGGAGTGTCGCGCGCAAGATTCAGGTCCTTGCAGCCAAGGTCAAGGTCACACATAGAGGTCAAAGTTCAGATAAAAATATGAAGATGTGTATATGGACCATTTAGTCATCATCATTGAGGGATTGTAACACAAATGGTCATTATCAAGACTATGGCTGTGATACATATAATTTAGCAGGGCTCATCCGGAAGGGCGATTCAGGCGAAAACTTCGGCGTGTATATTTCCATTTCGCTCTCCCAGTTGATCAAAGAGAAGTCAACATCGCCGATAAAATCTTAATTCCCAAAGAGTTATTACTTGACGATGTAAAGAGCAGAGATTTTATCCGCCCATATGACGACTGCTAATTATCATTATCCAATCAAGAGCGTCGCTTTATACTACCCTTCTACCTGTAAGCGATAGACCGCCTACTGTAAACAGTAAATAACGAGAGCATCGGCCCGAAACGGGTATAATTGTGTGACAGTTTTTCGAGTTTAATACGGGATTAGGCGATAATTATAGATTGTTTTTTTCCCGATCATCTAAACACGTGCAAATCTTCCCTAATTGATATACACGTGGTGTTTAATCCGAGTAATGGCGATGTGCAATGGGTTTTTCACAGCTATCACAAAACTGTTAGTCTATTAAAAATAATCAATTTCATTAATGATCAGCGACCGGATTAAAAATTTAATCATAGTTTTGAATGACTTCAGTCCGTTAACATCAATTATAAATTATTATGTTGCTCACGTCATGGCTACAGGGCGAAATGCCCAAAACTAGCAGTAAAAGAAAGTTACTGATTCTGATACATCTACGGGAAAATTTAAGAAAGCCAATTCGCAAAAATCTTACGGACAGTGAGAGTGTTTGGCATTGTTATCTTTGCAGAAATGCCAAATTTGACATAGCTTACGAACGTGGGCGCGACATCCCGGAAAAACTACGAATCATGATCGGCATGCTACATATCGGTCGTATATCATGTGCACATGTATATAACAACAAAATTTGTCAGGAAAGAAGTGTTCTTATTGTTTCAATATATATATTTGTTTTAATGTCATAAATATGACACTCCGATTAAGATTTATCAATATTGTAAATATTTATAACTTAAAGATATTACGAGTTTAACATTTCATGAAAATAAAGGGAGGTAATTAGAAATTTTATTTTCTATAATTTCTCAGTCAAATTTTTCAATAAGAAATGAATGTATATAATTTTAGTGATCAAATATAATGTGCACAAATGTTTGCAGTACATATTTTACATATTCTTTGATGTTTGAAAATTGTTTTATAAGCATAATTATAAGCACATAAATTTGACATTACAACATAAAAATCATGAATAACAAACCAACATACATGCAAGATCATAAAAGAATTTCTGTAATCAGTGCAGAATTGACAGATTTTGCTAATCAATATCCAATGTAACTTTGTCTTCTATTAATAGTGAGAAAAGTAAAAATATAAAATTAATTTATTCATCATATATTTTCTTACACATTATTATCAATAAATCTAAATGAAAACATATAAAATTTTTTTTAGAGAAAGCTTATAAATAGATTGTGTTTATATTATAGTTAAAGGATGTATAGTCATGCATGTTAATGCATACATATTGGGTTGTTTCCCTCAAATTTCTCTTTTTTTCGCGAGGAAGTCACTTCTCCCTAAAATTTCCCCCCAGGATGAGCCCTGATTTAGGTCAATATATACAAGGTCAAAGTCACTAAAGATGATGAAATATCCAGATTTTGTCTGGAGCATATCTCCTACAGGCATGGAGGGATTTTAATGAAATTTCATAGAAATGTTCACCATTATGAGAAGCCATGTCACGCACATGAACTTGGTCTCTGGGTCAAAGGTCAAGGTCACACTTAGAGCTCATTGAAAAATGCTTGTCCGGAGCAAAACTTCCACATGCATAGAGGGATTTCAATATAACTTGGCACAAATGTTTACCATTGTGAGGCGGAGTGTCGCACGCAAAATTCAGGTCCCTGCAGCCAAGGTCAAGGCCACACATAGAGGTCAAAGTTTAGATAAAAATATGAAGATGTGTATAGGGACGATTTAATCATCATTTATTGAGGGATTGTAACACAAATGGTCATTATCATGACTACGGCTATGACACATGTACTTTAGGTCAATATATGCAAGGTCAAGGTCACTAAAGATGGTGAAATATCCAGATTTTGTCTGGAACATATCTCCTACATGTATGGAAGAATTTTTATAATACTTTATGGAAATGTTCACCACCATGATATGTATTGCTCCATGCATGATCCAGGTCAAAGGTCAAGGTCACACTTAGAGCTCATTGAAAAACGCTTGTCCGGAGCAAAACTTCTACATTCATAGGGGGATTTCAATGTAACTTGTCACAAATGTTCACCATTGTGAGGCTGAGTGTCGCACGCAAAATTCAGATCCCTGCGACCAAAGTCAAGGTTACACATAGAGGTCAAAGTTCAGATAAAAATTTGAAGATGTGTATAGGGACCATTTAGTCATCATTTATTGATGGATTGTAGCACAAATGGTAACTATCATAACTACAGGTGTGACACATTTAATTTAGGTTAATATTTGCAAGGTCAAGGTCACTGGAGATGATTAAATATCCAGATGTTGTCCGGAGCATATTTTCTACATGCATGGAGGAATTTTAATGTTACTTTATAGAATTGTTCACCACCATGAGACGTAGTGCCCTGCATATGAACAAAGTCTCTAGGTCATAGGTGAAGGTCACAGTTAGAGCTCATAGCAAAACGCTTGTCTGGAGCAAAACTTCTACATGCATAGAGGGATTTCAATATAATTTGGCACAAATGTTCATCATTGTGAGGCTGAGTGCCGTGCATAAAATTCAGGTCCCTGCGACCAAGGTCAAGGTCACACATCCTGTGCATATCTTCCCTACTGATTTGTTTTAAGGTTCATTTAACAACACAGTGCCAAGGATAAAAACTTGCTTGCTAGATAACACTTATCCATAATGCCCCCATCTCCATCTAAAGCTTTCGTAAACGGGCGTATTTTGTGACTATGGCACCCTTGTTTGAAATTTGCATTTACTTTTAATTTGATTTCATTTGAATTGATACGCGTCATACATGTTATCTAAGAGCGCTACAACCCTTGCAAAGCCTTCGGCCCGGCTTGGACTTTCCGCATAATATGATTATAACATTTACATTTTAGGAGTCTGCAATCTTTACTTTATTGCGACTTGATGGTAAATGGTATTTATTTTCATGCATGTAAAAATGGTTTTATCGTTGTAACAGTGTGATTGCGCCGATGTACAGTGTAGATGTGCCATAATAATGATTTCATGTTTAAATACAAAAATATTTTTAATAGTGTTTACAGGGGTGAATCATGTTGGGGAGGGGGGGGATAGAATCTGACCCCAAAGCATCTGTGGCCCCTATACTAGCCAAAAGTTCTAGCGGAAGCCGTATGTGAGTCATGTATGTCTAGCCTAAATATGTACGCACCTGTACGAAATTTTGGCGCTGATTCTGGGCATGGAATTGCATATATGGCACAAAATCACAATTATTTTTCACCCCCCACATGATAAGGGATACAGGGATACAAGCATTTCTATGGAATTGGGGTGGAATCATTGCTTTCTGGGCAGACATTTCACTGAAAAGCAAATCCGTGGTAGTCCGCCCCACCTGAAAAATATTTCTTTAACATTTCTGGGTGAAAACAAAAACCACTGCAGTACAGGCTGAATTTTATTACTGGCAGATATTGTACCTTAGATGAAATTTTAAACATAATTTTTCCTTGAGGTAGAATTGCGCGGAATTCAGAACTTTGATTTTAAGCTTTGGTTCATATGAAGTATATGGAGAGCTATTCTACTCACCCGGTGTCGGCGTCCAGATTTCAGATTAAAGTTTTGGTGCAGTAAAATATTTTTCATTTCTTAATGTATAACGGTAACTTCAAACTTCAAATATATGTTCCTTATCATCAACCACAGCTTATGCTACGAGGTTCATAACTCTTAGCACCAATATATTTAGATTTATTTCCTGTTGAACAAAGGATTTTCTTTTAAAAAATATTATTTTTAGCTCGACTATTCGATAAGAATAAGTAGAGCTATTGCAGTCACCCGAGCGTCGGCGCGGTGAGGGCGTCTGCTTCGGCGTAACCACTTATGTGAAGTTTTTGTAATAGTTCAAATATTTTCAAAGTCCATTGACATATGGCTTTGAAACTTTGCACACTTGTTCATTATCAAGCACTTTGACAGAATTATGCCCCTTTTTCGACTTAGAATTTATGTTAAAGTTTTTGTAATACCTCAAATATTTTCAAAGTTCATTGACATATGGCTTTGAAACTTTGCACACTTGTTCACCATCATTACCCGAACCTGTAAACAGGAGGAGGTAACTGTATCAAGCTTTTTTTTTACTGTCAAGCACTAAGAATTCACAGCTTAACACAAAGATCAGATATAAGGCTAATGACAACCACCTGTATTTCTCTCTATCTATGCATGACTAATCTCCTCATGGAGTATTCTGGTATACTGACCAGACTGTTCCATGTGATAATTTAGGGAGTCTGAGCATTATACATTTCAAAACAAACAGTTTAGAAGGACATTGAAACTTTGATTCTTCTTCAAAAACTTTGATTCTTTTTCAAAAACTTATCATGATTTTCAAATTCTACATGTTTTGTTTGTACATTCAATAAATGTAAAAATGAAATGATGGGTTTTTGATATTTTTTTTTGATAATCCCTGTTTCACATTATGTCCAGTTAAACTGTTGAAAATATGAAATCTCAGACATTTGTGTCAGTCAGTGTGCTTATTCAAATAGTGCCAACCATAATGGATTTAATTTGTATTTTAGTAATTTTGGAGATATCATCTTGTTTTTAAACCATTCTGGAAACAATTAATTAATGAATAATTATCTACTACAATGGGTTAAACACATCTTTATCAAGGAGTATCTGTTTATTTTTATCAATCACATATTTATTTTTCTTATCTTACACTATGCTATGTATACAGGAAAATCACATCATGGTAAATCCTATATACATAACAGTGTAAGATAAGCAGATAAGCTCTAGCCCTGTGACAACTTTTCAGCACCCCGTGATATTGGTCTGACTGCAACATAAAGGACTCCCCTCAAAGCTACAAGTCATTGCTTGACATTATTCATTATTAATTGTTTACTTTAAGGACGAGGTACATTGTTTATATTGGATGTTACACCAGATGGAATACAACCTGTTCGTATATATGAATGGAATGATGGATTATTTGATGTAACATGGGCTGAGAATAATGAAAATGTTGCCATAGCAGCCGCTGGAGATGGATCTGTTCTCTTGTTTGATGCTACAAATCCGAAGGTAGTTCATATTTATTATTAATATATTGAGCCGCGTCACGACAAAACAAACATAGTGCGTTTGCGACCAGCATGGATCCAGACCAGCCTGCACATCCGCGCAGTCTGATCAGGATCCATGCTGTTCGCTTACAATAGAGAAACTAATAGCAAACAGCATGGATCTTGATCAGACTGCGCGGATGCACAGGCTGATCTGGATCCATGCTGGTTGCAAACCCATAATGTTGGTTTTGTCATGACGCGGATCAATTTCTTTACTGTTTTAAAGTTACAAATGATGGATTTTGTAATGGTAATGTGATCAATATTATCATTATTTATGTTATTTCCTGTTTAGATTGACTTCTTTTCACTTACAAGATTTGGAAATTGAATAGTGACTTATTTATTTATTTATTTAGTGGGTTATTTTTGATTTTGATTGGTAATGGTAGTTTAGGTTAAGTTGAGTCATTAACTTTTCCTTCTGTTTTAACTTACCCAGAAATTAGACTTTGGGGGAAAATATTCTTTTAGGATTTTTGAAATCTTCCTTTTTGTTACTTGATAAACATTGTTTTCGGTAGAGCTGTCATCGATATCGACAATATCGATGTATCGTTGATATTTTTTTGTCGATCAATAATCGATACACATTTTAAAAAATCGATACTTTTGACTTATAAATTAAATGTCTAGAAATTATACAATTCACCCAAAATATATGCAGAAACAGTTCTTTATACATGTATCTAATGTTATGCTTTTGTTATATAGTGGAATTATTTCATAGCAATGGTGACAAAAAATATTGTCTGGAAAAAATCATGCAGTGGACAAGACACTGTACAGAACATGTTTTTGACTGAAATCATTGAAACAGGTATGAAAGTGAATGACAGACAAGTGAGTATAGGATATTATCGATATATCGGTGTATCGTTGATTTTAGTCACTTGATATCGATATATCGTTGATATGCTTTGCACTGAATCAATGACAGCTCTAGTTTTCGGGAAGTACAGGAATAAGCATTTGTATAGTAAATGCGATCAGTAGGATGAAATTAATGAATAACATTGTATTTTGGAAATTTGGACTACTTAAGAATAATTACCAAATATCCCAATGAAATAAAGATCCTGATATGCATAATAGTTTTTAAAAATTGATAGGCACATGGCAAATTTTTATATCTAAAAAAAGAATGCTGATGTTGCGGTGCAGAAAAATGTTTTGTTTTGAATGTAAGTTGTGGCAATTTGTCTATTACAGGGACCACTTAGATCTTTTAAAGAACATACAAAGGAGGTTAGTATATATTAGTATTTAGTTTTTAAATATTATTTAGTATTCATAAAGGTCAGTCCAAGTCTGTCCTATAATGTTAATGTATTTATTCTTTATTAACTTGTATCCATGCAGTCAAACCAGGGTCTGAACTGTTCATTGTTTGCAGTGCAATTTTTGATATTGAGATTTGTTTAACTTTGTATGCACTGTTCCAGATTTCATCCTTTATAAATCTAGTATACATGATCAGCAGGGTAATAGTTAAGCAAGAACACAGTAGAAATTTAAATAGAAAGAGGAAGTTCTATCTGTTTTAAGTTATATACAGTGTATTGTCTTATTCTTATGCACCCACTAAAAAAAAGGTGGGGGGGGTGCAATCTGCACTGGAGTCTATGAGTCCTTACATCATATACCACCTTTTCTGTGCCTGACTAATAATTTAAGAAGGAATAAATGGTAGTTCATGTAATTTCATAGGACCATTAAATGGCATTGATTTCGAGGTCAAATGTCAATGATACAGTGGCCTTGAACATGACCAATAAAGAAAAACATTTGCCAAGCAGTCCTAAGATTTTGGTGTAGAGGTTGATTTTGACTAGTTAATGATCATTATTGATTTTGTGGCCTCTTGAATTATTTCTAGTTTTATATGTGGCTATAATCATATTACTGTTTTAAACATGATAAATATTTTGGTTATTTATTTCCAGGTGAATTCTGTTGACTGGAGTCAGACAAGGGACGAGAACTTGATAGTCAGTGGATCTTGGGATAAACTTATTAAACTTGTATGTACTTGTATATTACATTTTTAACTTTTTTTTTTACGAAAAATATTTTAAATATGAAAACTTAAGAAATATTTAATGATTTTTAATCAACTCCAGTCAAGAAAACATTTTCTTAGCTTTTGGAAAGCCAGGGGTTTTAATTATTATAACCCCACAAACAAAGTTTAGGGGGGTATATAGGAGTCGGCTTGTCGGTCGGTCCACTTCTTGGTTTCGTGTAGAGTTTGGAATGAGTCATTGTATTTAAACTTGAAATATGACAACCTTATGTGAAAGGGGTTATAGTTTTTTTGTCAGTGTAGCTAGTAATATATGCATTCTGTCCAGAATCGAAACTGTTGCCCTTGTCCACTGGTGCAGAAAATATTCCTGTTGTCAGGAAGTCCAAGGAAATCCCAGGATTGTGCCAGGATTTTGTTTTCTACCTCTTAACAAAAGTCCCATTTACAGGATATCTTAAAACTTTTGAAGAAACTGAACAGGTAAAAAACAGGAATTGTCAGAACTTTTTTCTTACCAATAGGAAAAGAGAGGAAATCTCAGGACTTTTATTTTCAGATATCTCCTAAGGACAGGAATTATCAGGACTTCATTTACAGTGAAGTACTTTTGTCAAAGACAGGAAAGAGATTTTTTTAGAAAGCCTAAACTGTAAAGTGAAAAGAAAGTAAAGTGAAAAGTAAGAAGTCCTGTTAATACCTGTTTTTTTGAACAGAGAAATAAATGAAATAATTTTTGTGAGACTCTATTATTGGGCAAAGCTGAAAAAATACTAAGTGTAAAACATGAAAAAAGTTTATTACATATATATATAAGTTCTTTTTTAATAGTTTCCTTTAACACAATGGGTATCAAAATACTCAGAATTTAAAATTCTATAATTTATAAACAATTTTAAAAAAATTTAAAAAAGAAGAGAAAATGTTGCTAATTGATTTTTGAACATGACAAGGAAAATGTTTTTTTTATTCTAATAGGATATTAGTACAGGAAAAAAGATTATTCAAGTATATTACCTATTGGCATGGAATTAGTGATTTTTGTTTGGACCATTGACGGAAATTAAATTCTGTGTCATTCCATTTCACAAGGAAAATATTTCACATAAAAGTCACCCAAAAGCATAATTCTACTCTTTGTTTTTTGCACATACAGACATAGAAATCTATATGCTTTTGTCCTTCTTAAAGACCTTATTTTGCTCAAGTTTGATATTTTACAAAGAAAGGTGTATTTTTAGAATCTACAGGTTTTTTTTAGACATTTAGGCCTGTATTTTAGATTTTAAACAGAAATAAAATAGCTCATGAAACTTTCCTTTTTTAATCTATTTAAAATCAAGCAACTAATATGGGAACCAGTATGCCTAATTAATTGCTTACATAAATACTAGACCCCTGAGACTTTACTCCACACTGATCAGAGAGATTTTGATAAAACTGGCCACCTTTGTTCTCCCACCATACATGTATGTGGTGACCACCATATGTGCATGACTAATTTACTCACCGGTCATTCCTACAAATCAGACTGTTCCATGTGATTGTTTCGGGGAGAGATAACATTATATATTTGAGTCCTATGCAATCATCCTTTCCAGTTACATAGTTGTAAAGTTTGAAGCTTGGAAATTGTGTAAATTACAGAGGATTTACTCAATGTTTTGGAGATAGAGATTTGTTTAAGGTGTTTAAGTTTAATAAGTATAGTTATGGTTAATAAGAATGACAAGAATCAGAATCACTTTGGATAAGGAGATGTACAACTTAATTACTATTAGGTTTGAAATTAAAACACACTAAGTTAACAACAGACTGTTCTAAATTCAGAATTTTCTAGTTATTTGAGGTTATTTAAAGGACAGATAACTTATACATAGGTAGATGAATTCTTGTTTTTACTTCTGGATAATGTTTTTCTTATTATTGTTGAATTCAATACATAATAACATGCAATTTCCTATATAGTTTCTGTTAATGTTTTTTCAATGAAAATAAAGGTACTTTAAACTCATAAAAAATAGGCCAATTCTTAAGAAAAAATGCACAGGTTAAGAGAAAAGTGGGGAAAAAAACTATCCACTCTTAATTTGTTCTTGAAATTTTGCATATTGACTAAGATGAAGGTAAGCTTCATGAAAATAAGAAGAAAAAAAAGTAATGTTTCGCTTCATTGTAAATCATCTGCCCTTGAATTTTACGAAAGTCAAATTCAAGGGCAGATAACTCGAAAATAGAGAATGGTGACCCCAAATTTTTTTCCTATTAAAATGTCTAATAACATGCAAAGTTTAAAGAAATTCTTTTGAACAGTTTTAATTTTGCCTATATGTCTTTATGAAAACTCTGGAAAACGTCTTTAAACAAATACATCAGTTCATTGGGAAAAATGAAATGATATGTTTCAATAGAGGATATTGGATGTCAGAGTGTATTGAATAAAATCATATTATGTGAGCCTCTGATTTATTCAACAATTTAATAAATTTAGAATTGAATCTACACAAATATAATATGCTATTTATCACATATCTGAAATAAGAAGGGTGAACTGTTAAATAGCTTCATTTTTAAATGACGAGCCTATAGTGTAACGCTAACATTAGCGCGCTTTAAAGCTATGTATTTTTATAACAGAGTAATTCTTATTAGAGATATAATGGTGTTTTATAATTTTATTATTACAGTGGAGTATAGAGAGTCCACAGTCCCTGTGTACATATACTGGACATGAAGGAATTGTTTACACTGTCGTCTGGTCACCTAGGATATCTGGATGTTTTGCTTCTGGTTCAGGTAGAGAATCTTAAAATATAGAAACACACAACATTTGTACTTAAAATACAGAAACTACTTAAAATATCAAAGCAGGCTAACCCTAACCCTTAACCCTAACATCTGAATATGGACATGGACTATTTCTTTAATATAAATTTATGATATATGTATGTATTCCCGGACTTCAATTAGAGGAAGTTTGGGAGTCATTTACTCCTGATTTTGGCTTGTGACTTCCAAAATATAATGCTTTTCCTTCTTTACCTATATAATGTGACCTCCAATGTCAGACATTTTCAGTCTCTGACTTCCAAATTTTGGAACTTAATGGAAGCACTGTGTATTCTATATCTGTTTAATGATGCTTTTCTGATTTATTCATTTAACCCTTAACCTGCTAGAACCAAAAATGATCAGCCTTTGTCACCAGTATATAGCCAGGCCAACCTACACTTATGTTCAGTCTGACCAGGCTCTAGTGTTGGCAGCTCAATTTTTAGCTCACCTGTCACAAAGTGACAGGGTGAGCTTTTGTGATCGCTTTTCGTCCGGCGTCCGTCCGGCGTCCGTCCGTAAACTTTTACTTTAAATGACATCTCCTCATAAACCACTAAGCCAATTTCATCCAAACTTCACAGGAATGTTCCTTTGGTGGTCACCTTAAAAAATTGTTCAAAGAATTTAATTCCATGCAGAACTCTGGTTGCCATGGCAACCGAAAGAAAAAACTTTAAATATCTTCTTTTAAAAAACCATAAGAGCTAGAGCTTAGATATTTGGCATGAAACATCTTCTAGTGAGTGTCTACCAAGTTTGTTCAAATAAAAGCCCTGGGGTCAAAATTGGCCCCGCCCCGGGGGGTCATTGATTTTCCCTATATGCATATAGTAAAAACTTAAAAACTCTTCTTTTAAAGAACCCAAAGAGCTAGAGCTAAGATATTTAGCATGAAACATGTTCTAATGGGTGTCTACCAAGTTTGTTCAAATAAAAGCCCTGGGGTCAAAATTGGCCCCGCCCCAGGGGGTCATTGATTTTCCCAATATGCATATAGTAAAAACTTTTAAAATCTTCTTTTAAAGAACTCAAAGAGCTATGGCTAAGATATTGAGCATCAAACATGTTCTAATAGGTGTCTACCAAGTTTGTTCAAATAAAAGCCCTGGGGTCAAAATTGGCCTCTCCCCAGGGGGTCATTGATTTTCCCTATATGCATATAGTAAAAACTTAAAAAATCTTCTATTAAAGAACCAAAAGAGTAAGAGCTAAGATATTTAGCATGAAACATTTTCTTATAAGTGTCTTCGAAGTTTGTTCAAATAAAAGCCCTGGGGTCAAAATTGGCCCCGCCCCGGGGGGTCATTGATTTTCCCTATTTGCATATAGTAAAAACTTAAAAAATCTTCTTTTAAAGAACTCAAAGAGCTATGGCTAAGATATTTAGCATGAAACATGTTCTAATAGGTGTCTACCAAGTTTGTTCAAATAAAAGCCCTGGGGTCAAAATTGGCACCGCCCCGGGGGTCATTGATTTTCCTTATATGTGTATAGCAAAAACTTAAAAAATCTTCTTTGAAAAAACCCAAATAGCTAGAGTTAAGAAATTAAGCATGAAACATCTTTTAGTGAGTGTCTACAAAGTTTGTTCAAATAAAAGACCTGGGGTCAAAATTGGCCCCGCCTCGGGGGTCATTGATTTTCTTTATATGTGTATAGCAAAAACTTAAAATCTTCTTTGAAAAAACCCAAATAGCTAGAGTTTAGATATTAAGCATGAAACATTTTCTAGTAAGTGTCTACAAAGTTTGTTCAAATAAAAGCCCTGGGGTCAAAACTGGCCCGGCCCCAGGGGTGTCATTGTTTTTAACTATATGTGTATAGTAAAAACCTTAAAAAAATCTTCTTTTAAAAAGCCCAATGAGCTAGAGCTTAGATGTTTAGCATGAAACATCTTCTTATGGGTGTCTACCAAGTTTGTGCAAATAAAAGCCCTTGGGTTAAATTGGCCCTGCAACGTTGGGGGTGGGGTTGGGGGGGGCCTATATACAGGTGAGCGTATTTTGATATTAAAATCCTTTAAACTTTCAAATTCAAAGCTGGACAGATCCATTATAGAAATAAAGCAGGTGAAGGGTTAATAAAGTGACTGAGGCATGCGTCATAGTATGTGTTGTAATGTAATATTTATGATTTTATATTTAACAGGAGATGGCACATTAAGAATCTGGGACAGACGGACAGCTTACCCACAGACTGTGATACCAGCACATCCTACAGAGGTTTTGACCTGTGACTGGAACAAATATGACCAGGTTGGGTCCCACTCTTTTAGGATTTCTTTTTTATAACACATGCAGGACTATAGATTTTTTTCAGATTGCAACTTTCTGTTAGTTTTGATTACTTAGAAAATTAATGTTAAAACTTTTATTCTTTAACCAGTTAAGCCGGAGTGCACCTGGTTTTAGTTAGTTTTATATTAAAATGAAGCAATTTCCATAAGTCTGTTAAACATTTTTAATCAGGTGAATCACAGTTGTATGAATATTTGAAAAAAAATTAGAATTAGCAGTATACTTCTGATTATTTTTTTTGAAAGTTATAAATGCTGTCTATTTTGAAAGTAATAAATGGTCACCTGAGTGCAGTAACGGGTTAAGTCCTTATAAATTTAATAGGAGTTAATCAGTTATTGCAAATAGGTGATGAAATGCTGACATTACTCTTGTTTTGGTAAAAAATAGGTATAATAATTACTTTTATATATAATGGTAATAGCATGCAAATAGGATTGCTTGAGAAGATGTTTTAATTAAGATATTTAAAAACAAAGTTATTTTGTCTGTTTAACTGTTATTGAAACTTATCGGCTTTTAACATTAGAACATTTCAAATGGATAGTTTTTCCATCGACTGCTCTCCGAATTCCATGGCTGTTCATTGTATACACAAGCATAAGGCAGGAAGAAGTAGCCATTGAACTTGTCTGCTCTTATTCAGTTGCTTTTGTGAGCCAAAGGGGCGAGAGTATTAACTCTCAAAAAAGATCTGGCATTTTTAGCTCGACTATTCGATAAGAATAAGTAGAGCTATTGCAGTCACCCGAGCGTCGGCGTCGGCGTAACCACTTATGTTAAAGTTTTTGTAATAGTTCAAATATTTTTAAAGTCCATTGACATATGGCTTTGAAACTTTGCACACTTGTTCACCATCATGACCCCAACCTGTAGACAGGAGGAGGTAACTCTATCAAGCATTTTGACAGAATTATGCCCCTTTTTCGACTTAGAATTTACGTTAAAGTTTTTGTAATAGTTCAAATATTTTCAAAGTCCATTGACATATGGCTTTGAAACTTTGCACACTTGTTCACCATCATGACCCCAACCTGTAGACAAGAGGAGGTAACTCTATCAAGCATTTTGACAGAATTATGCCCCTTTTTCGACTTAGAATTTACGTTAAAGTTTTTGTAATTGTTCAAATATTTTTAAAGTCCATTGACATATGGCTTTGAAACTTTGCACACTTGTTCACCATCATGACCCCAACCTGTAGACAAGAGGAGGTAACTCTACCAAGCATTTTGACAGAATTATGCCCCTTTTTCGACTTAGAATTTACGTTAAAGTTTTTGTAAAAGTTCAAATATTTTCAAGTCCATTGACATATGGCTTTGAAACTTTGCACACTTGTTCAACATCATGACCCCAACCTGTAAACAGGAGGAGGTAACTCTATCAAGCATTTTGACAGAATTATGCCCCTTTTTCGACTTAGAATTTACGTTAAAGTTTTTGTAATAGTTCAAATATTTTCAAAGTCCATTGACATATGGCTTTGAAACTTTGCACACTTGTTCACCATCATGACCCCAACCTGTAGACAACAGGAGGAGGTAACTGTATCAAGCATTTTTTTTACTATCAAGCACTAAGAATAGTCGAGCGTTGCTGTCCTACCGACAGCTCTTGTTCAGATTTTCAGTAGTTTCAGTGCATTGATTTTGATTTTCAGAATGTGATATATACAGGTTCAGTTGATTGCTCAATAAAAGGTTGGGATATAAGAAATCCTAGACAGTGCCTATGTACAATGTCAGGACACAGGTTTGCTGTTAGAAGAATTAGAACTTCCCCATTTAATGCCAACACACTGGCTTCGTGCTCATATGATTTTACTGTCAGGTTTGTGAAGCATGTTAATTTTTATGTTCGTTTTTTTCTGTTATTTTGAACAGTGTAATATATAATGCTGTGAGAACTGTGGTATGAATCTTATTTTGTTTTAATATGGATTCTGTTAATTCTTGAATATCAAAAATAATAGAAATTTAACCATTTTCATGTATTTTACATTCAAATCTGCTAAATGTGCTTTGGGTTGGAACAAGTCGATCCAGCCACTTGTTGGAAGACTCTAATAATTTTTCAACATGTATTTCTTTAAGATATTTTACGAAATTCAGAATGCTACAAAAGGATCTTTTACTACATAAATTTTGTCAAATCTACCTTCTAATCGAGATTTACACAGTTCATTAAAAACAAGACAACACAGACATATACTATAATTATATATCAGGTTCAAATAGCTGCCTCACAAGATATTTTACTGCTTGGATTTAAAATAACAGAAATTTTCAAAGGGATGAGCCATTTAATCAATAAATGCAGATTTCTGATGCAAGTGAATTATAAAGAGTTTTGTTTCATTAATTTTAAAATTTTATCTGTACTGTTTTACATGCAATATCCATATAATACATCTGACGTTGTCAAGTGTCATCACGATTTTTAATTTATTCGTTACTGATAAGAGTTTTCAAAGGTACAATGGAATTCACTGTTTAAATCAGTCGGTAACTTCTTCTACTATTATTGCGAAATCGTTTCCAAATGTACATGTTGATTTATAGTATTAATGTATTTGTGTTCTAGAACATGGGACGTGAGACAACCGCATGCAATGGAAATAATAGAACATCATTCCGAATTCGCATATGGATTAGACTTTAATTTACATATACCTGGTCAAATAGTCGACTGTGGCTGGGATGAACTTATACACGTTCATAAACCTCGCTCATTGTGATATTTGTGATTTGGTGATTTTTGTGCAATCAAATTGCGATAATTGTGATAGTTGTGAATATATTATAAATTTTAAGCTCATCGGAAAAATCTAGCTTTATGATCGCTGTGTTGTCGTCATTGTCATCGTTCTTTATCCAAATTTTCATACACCTATTACGATTACAATTTCAATAGTATGAATACAAATCTTTGAATACTTGCTTTTCATGATAAGGCACATGTGTTAGACAAGGGGCATAATTTTGAAAGCTTTATTTTTGGAGTTATGCCCCTTTTAACTTGGAATTCTTGTTAAAATTGCTTATTAAGTAGAATGATTTCAAAAGTATCATGGATATTAACAGGACTTCTTTATAATTATGATAACAGGCAGCTGTTAGATAAGGGGCATTATCCTAAAAGCAGTTTTTCAGGAGTTATGCCCCTTAATTTAGAATATTTTTTGGAAAAAAATGGTTTTTGATAGAAAATTTTTGAAACTATTGAAGAAACTTGTATACATTCTAGGCATACTTTATCACTAGGGACAAGGTACATTTGTAGGACATAAATGACATAACTAAGTAATCATTGTTTCTAGTTTTAAGTTCTTTTCCTGAACAGACGAGCGTTATCATCTCAAAGGGTGTTTATCTCAGCGTTGTGTAATATATGTGATAAGTGAATTACGTTTTAATCCTTGCATTTTATATGCAATTGTATATTTGTGAAACATATATTGGTATATATATATATATGGTATTAATCAGTATTAATATCTATAATTTTCATATTCAGGAACAAAAATATGGAGGTTAGTCATGATTAATAGGTGACCCCCTTTGATTTTTAGGACACTGGGTTAAAGGTCAAGGTCACAGGGGCCTGGACTAAAAATGTTTGTCCACCTATTAACTTAAGATTCCATGACCCACAGTCTTCATTTTTGGCATGGATGGTGATCATGACCATAAGGTGACCCCTAATGATTTAGAGGTCACTGGGTCAAAGGTCAAGGTCACAGGGACCTTGACAAGAAAAGAAGCTTTTCTTCTCAATTGTTAAAGAATGCCTGTCCACAGTGTATTGATTTTGACATTTTCACATTTGAAGCATGTAGAATACATAATTAAGCAATGCACTGGTTTAGTAACCTCAGATTTGGCAGGGAGGTTGTCCTTGAGTTCTAAATGGCCACTGTTGATTCTGACAAGTGGTATGCAGGGGTATTCACGTCATGACAGTGGCAGTTCTAGTTTTTTTACTTAAGCACACGGGGCCACAAAAAATGCTGTAAATGTTAAAGGTCATATAAAGCATTTCCACCAAGCAAAACCAGTTTAGGTTTATGTCCTGTTTTATCATAAAGTACATTATGCCGCGGTTGACTTACTCCAACCTCATAACCGTCTGCCGTCTGGCAAGGACGAGAGACAGAGAGAGAGAGAAGGGGTAGGCACAAGGCCCATGTTGATATTACATTATAAATTGAGAGGTACTGAAAAATATTACAAGACTGTTACTCTAAAATATAATGTAAACAAACAATGTATTGAAACTCATCAACTTTTAGTTTATTTTCTAAAGAGCCATGAAGAAAATAGATCGACTTATAAAAGACTTCAATCAATAGATTTAAAAATCTATGATATCTATACTAGCTGTATGATGATTTGCGTCTGTGTGCGTATGTGTTTTTTGTGTCACGCCAAGATAGTATAGGTTATATGGCGTCTTTCCAGTATATGACACCTTTCCAGACAACGTATTACATACGCCATAAAAGTTAAGACCCCAGATATAACAAAGTGGGGTGCATATAGTGTTCCACTTGTCCATCCGTCTGTCCATCCGTACGAACCCGTAGGTACTTGTGTGATTTGGAGAACAATGGGTAACAGTAAATTCTCTTTGATCCTATTCATTCCGTTTTACTTGTGTGTCTTTTTTTAAGCCTTGTGTGACTAAAAATGGCCTAAAAGATCAAAGGAAAAGTCACATAAGTACCATTTTGTGAGTACGTCTGTCCGTCCGTACGTCCCGAAATCTTGTGAACGCAACTCCTCTTAAACCGGATTGCAGATTTTGCTTAAACTTCCAGGGATGAACAACCTTAATGTGTAGATGGTAGTAAAGGAAAGAATTTTTGCTGGGACCAAATTTAACAGAATTATGGCCCTTTGTTGATTTTTTCACTATATACCATAAAGAAATTTTGTGAACGCAGCTCCTCTTTAACTGGATGGCAGATTTTGCTTTGTTCTTGTACGGATGCTTTTTGGTTTCTCTAGGCCAGGACACTCGTTTGTCAAAATCTGCATTGCAAAACATCCGTCCAAAGGTGTGTTATCGCTCTTTCTTTAAAAAAAAATATGAAAATTAGGAATGTGATCACAGTTAATAGTGTCCATTGCTTTTCTTTGAAAAAAAAACCTTTGTATCTGTAACAGGCTCCAATTCTTTGTATTTGGACCAGAAGGCTGTGTTTTATACTAATGACAATTCACATATACAGCTTACAATTATTATTGTGACTGGGGTTTAAAGAGACGTAAGGCAACTGCCATAAGAATTATCATGGGTAAAATTTAATCATACTTCAATACATGTTCATTATCTTTACTTTTCAATGTTATGAAATACCTGCAGAACAAGAATGGGCTTGTGCCTTTCCTTTTTCTTAACAGATAGTCTAGAGCATCCGTCATATCTGGCGTAAGAATGATATACACTTTTCTAAGGCCCCTTGTTGACATTCCTCAAACTTCTATCACACTCATGCTGATATGGTAAGAATAAAAAGAATAATACAGAAGCTGTCTGAAAATAGGGTAATATGGCAGTATTTTCATCGAAATTAAATTAAATACTTTAAATGGTGTTTCAATGATTGTTCTTTGTCCCTTTTGTTAAACAAATAAGAAGAGAGAAAAAACATGAATATATATATATCAATGTGGATTGGTATGGAAAATTTTTCCCTCATTTAAATGGTGTTTCAACGATTGTTCTTTGTCCCTTTTTTTAAACAAATAAGAAGAGAGAAAAAAACATGAATATATATATATATCAATGTGGATTGGTATGGAAAATTTTTCCCTCATTTAAATGGTGTTTCAACGATTGTTCTTTGTCCCTTTTTTTAAACAAATAAGAAGAGAGAAAAAACATGAATATATCAATGTGGATTGGTATGGAAAATTTTTCCCTCATGTAAAGCAGTTACATGTTTTATAAATATAATCAAGTCCATATTTTCATCATCATCTCTTTTATCATACAAAATGTTTGTATAACATGATCTACAGAAAATTTGCTTTAAAATGAATCTTATTTTAATAATACTATGGTTTTCACTGAGGTTCATGAAAGTAACATACCGTTTCGACAGAATCTGTTCGGAAACATCCAATGCGTTGAGAACTTCTGAATCAATCTCATCATCTTTGAGTGTTTGCAAAAAGTCTGATACTCTCAATTCGGCTACTTCCGCAATTCGTCTTTTATTAAACAGGGCAATTCGCACCAAAGTAAGCTGAGCGAGCCTCTTCCATTGCTTCCTGTTTGGTGTATTTCTTTTTATTCCTTTTTTTTATTTCATCAACAAGCCATTCTTTTAAATGAACTAAAGCCTCTGTCAAACTTGTTGATGTGTCTCAATTTCTGACGACGCTTTGCAACGGAGGATACTATAGGATACTTGATTGTTCCAGTGAGTTTGATAGAGGATTTGAAAGTCACGTCCTTCCTCCCATATGTCCTTGTCCCCAAGTTATATTCCTAAGCTGATTTTGAGCAAAGTAAAATATGTGCTTGATGTAATGCCAAAGAACAAGGGCAATCTGAGGAGAGTTGCTCTCTTTTGTTATTGATATTGTGGCCTCAATTATTTTGCAAAATTTACGTCCTGTAATATAATGTGTTAGGGGCAATTTTTCTTCATTAATTTTGTGAAGCTGTTTAAGAATTCTTCGGACTGTTCGTACTTTTGTTCTCACATTATCAACATCCTTCACCCTTTGCTCATTAATTTCTCCTATCCTAAACAGCTTAGATTTAGCAAACTCTCTAATTAAAAGATCTTTTTTACATAATTCGTGAATACCAGGATTGGCTGTTGTCTCCTTCATCCCACCAAATAAGTGTTCTAGTCGCGCTTCCTCTTCTGTAATGCTTGGAAGAAAAGGGGATAGAATGACACAGGCATCTTGGATATAGTTAGCTGACGCTTGCTTTTCTTCTGGCTTTAAGGGACAGTTTTTTATATGTACCCACAGCGAATGTTGCAAATAAAGTCCAAAACAGTACTCGCACGGCAAAAACCTGTCAGCTGAGTATTTGTATTTGGTCATCTGTGCTTTATTTGGACGTCTTGCAACAACTAACTCTCCCATGTGTTTTTCTATCACCTGTAAATGTAATACGAGTAAACACCAAAAAACAAGTGATTTAATTTACCTTTAGTCGAACTTACATTTTTTCCCCTTTGACGCACACCAGTCTTTCACAGCCTGATAGTTCTCCTTTGTTTTGAAGCGCACCTCTCCCTTCCGGTCATCACCAGGAATTCTAGTAAATTAAGGGCCAATTTTTCAGGTGTGGAATTCAGTTCCAAGCACTTACTGTGCTCCTCCTTCTTCGTGTGCACACCATACTTCACTCTTCCAAATACACCAAATCTAGAGGATTGAATAAAACAAGAAAAAATCATTAAGTCAGATACTTGAATAAAGGTAATTTGAAGAGAGTTTGAAATCCCCCAAATTGAAATTTTGGTTCCCATATTCTTGGGCTGCCCTTGGATATCTTGCATTTCTTCAAATAAAGCATTTGAGATTACTCACCATTAGGGCAGAAGATAGTGAAGAACCCTGGTAAAAGGCTAGGATGTCCAGTATACTTTTTTGTGCATATTCCTTGATCTGCACTTAGTCTTGAAGTGCCTATTTTTTTAAACCGACCCCTGGACCTGTACTTCGGCAAACATGGAAAGAATGATAATTCATCATCCTGACTGTAGGTCATGGTCGATTTTTGATGATCCTCTTTTGCATATACAAAGGGTGACACTGCAATATTCCACAGCTGGTTAACCAATAGCTGCAAATTTTCAGTAACATCATGATTTTCAAAAACCTCAAACAATACAGGTAAAAATGAATGAACATTTTGTCACATCAATGGTTCTTCTCTGATGTTAATCCCTGAAACAATAGCTTTTACAAGGGATTTTACTGGTTTACATGGTCGAATAAAAGAACATACTGGAGATGGAGAGGCAATGCTATACAAAAATTTACGACAAACTGGTAGCCAGAGTTACAGATAAGCAGGGTATCTGCGTTATTACCCAATAATATTGACCAATTTACCCAATTAAAATAAAATCTTTGCGTAATAAAAAAGCAAATAGAAGGTTCAGTACCCAATTTGTTTTATTTCTGTAGCCTATTTCCAATATCTCAGACCATAATATAATTCACCTGGTAAAAACAGCCAAACAAATCATTAAAATGCCTGTTGCCCTTTCTGTCCATTTGTTGACCGGAGACTGATTATATAAATATCGATTTTTATCAAGGAAAATCTTATTCTTTGAAGAGATAATTGCATCCTAGCCCAATTTGGCACAATGGCCTGGAGAATCCATTCTTCCATCACCTGCTATTATTACACTGCTTGATCCCTGCTTTTTGAGTCCAAAAGTTCTGACTGAACCTCTTTCCACTGTTCCTCAACAGCAGGCACT